TAAAAATCGTTCCGACCATTTGCTCCGGAACAGAATGCTAGCTACAAATTGTTTCGCAAAAATGCTTTGGAACGTTCCTATTTATTTTCACCCCTCTGATATTTATTAATCACATTTAAATTATTATTATATTTTTTTATATTAATCTACTATTAAATTTTTATCTTTTTTATAGAGGTGAGCCTCTTACGGATTCAGATCTTTGTACTTAAGTCCAACTGGAGAGCGTTATATTCAGCCTATTCCATTGTTTTAACGTATTGCATTGCTATAACTAGATTTATTTTAGCAGTCGCTTTTCTGAATTTATAAAAACAATCTTATTATTGACGAGTGATGGAACTTAAATTTTAATTTTACTGTGTCATTTTTACCATAGAGTTACTCTATGATTTTTACACGTAAATAACAATGCAAATACAATAAAAATATCTACTGATCAGAAATTTGCATGAAGTTGTTTTTTTTGTAACATTAGAAAGTAAACTTGTCACGAATATGAGTTGACAGCATACATTCTATTCGAGGGCATCTGGACGGATTAACCGTCCTTTTAGTAGCTGATTTTTTAATAGACAATAAAAATAATTTAAATTCAAATAATTAATTCCCCAACAATTTCAGTTATATCCAATGTTTCAACTTGACTAAGTACCAAATACTAATTTATTACTAGATATTATTATTATAGATTTTATATAACACAAAGAACTATATAACGTGATCTATAAAATTTTTCATGGTTATGAATAAATTATTAACACTTTAAATACTATACTACTTTTTTAATTCACATACAATTTTCTATTTAATAATCTTAATTTCAAATTTGAAGTTGAGTTATAAGTTATGGTAACAAATAAACCTTTTTTTTCATTATAAACTTTCAAAAAATTAACTTTAAAGACCAAAAAATAGGTTAAAAATTATAATTTGCACTGATTATTTTTAACATATTAAATACGTTAAGTAATAATTATTTATGGCATAATTATTAATATTTTGCGCAAAGCATTTGAATAAATGTTGCAATAATTATATTGATTACATATTAAATATAAAAACTCCATACGAAAAATATTATTATAGTTATTAATATAATTTAATTTTTTATCCGAAACGTTTTTTAGAATAAGCTCCTTTCTGGAGTAAATTGTTGGAACAATTTTTAGCATAGGTTCCATTCCGGAGCGCATAGTCGGAACTATTTTTAGGAAAAGTTCCGTTACGGAACAAATGACCAGAACAAATTTTACTAATAGTTCCGTTCCGGAGCAAATAGTCGGAACGAATTTTACTAATAGTTCCGTTCCGGAACAAATAGTCGGAACGATTTTTAGGAAGAGTTCCGTTCCGGAGCAAATGGCCGGAACGAATTTAAATAATAGTTCCGTTCTGGAACAAATGACCGGAACGTTTGTTAGCAAAAGTTCCGTTCCGGAGCAAACTCGGAACGGAACGAAATTTCACGTTCCGGAACAATATTTTTGTTCCGTTCCGAATCCCTGCCTACAAGTATATCAAGTGTGAAAGATTTGTCAACAGATAGTATACCGAAGGGTGAAATTAATATATGGAAACTTTTATGGCACTGGCGCGCACTATAGAATTTACGAACGTACTTTAGTTCCAAGCTCTGCTGTAGTAGATATTTCGTGACGTTTTACGGAAACAGGATAGATACATCACAAAAACCGATAATTTTGTGAAAATTAGGAATCCAATTAAGGAAAACTTGTAAGAGCAGGAGTGAAAACAATGAGGCCCCATAGAAGATCGTTGGATAAAAAAACTTTAATGCAAAGAATGAGGCAAATGTAATAATAAACTATAGCAAAATTAGGATACTATTGATGAACCACACTTATAGTGGACACTTTATGAAAAATCATAAACTAGCAAAAAAGCGAAAGAGAGTCAACAAGCAAAATTCAAAAGTCATATATGATTCTTGATAACAATACCAGTTTGTCATATTTGACTAACTAGTGGTTTTTTTTGAATCGTTCGTTCACGAATTATTTTAAATATTGTTTAAAATATTTATAACCCTATAAATAATCATGCCCTCTTAAATAATTAAAATAAATATTTAAATATTAATAATAAAGTCCTAATATTAAATTTAAAATATTAGAACAGATAGTATGATATATTTATAGTGCTTCAAAATCTTATTAATGATTTTATAATTTTTTTGTAGGTGTTCCGCGGTGTTTTTGTTGGGATATCAGTAGTGTATTTTTAACATATTTTTATGCCCCTGTATGTAATACATTTAATTTGCAGGTTTATATATATTTTTATCATTATAATTATCTATTTAATATATTTAATCTTTTTTTCCTTTATTAAGATATACACTTCTGTTTCGTGTAAGTACAATTAGATTATTTGCTAAAATAAAAATAGGACATGAATACTTGACAAAGAAGCCACCCATTAATAGCACTTTGAAGTAATATAAGAAAAATAATAATCACATTATAGTAAAATTAATACCTTCTCAACTTCGTATCGAAGGTAAAAAATTTGATTGAGAATATTTATATGAATAACATGTAATGCAACAAATACAAATAACAACATCAACGAACAATTTTTAAAGATGTGTGATATCACTGCTACTTTGTCTTAGTCACATAGATGTCACTATGTGTTGGTGTGTCCCTAAAATGGGTTTAAAGGATGCCAACGAATATAATGGCTACGATATATAATGCGTCAGATGTAATAGAAGCCGGATGTAAAAGAAGAAAAAGAGTGGTATATTAGTCACGTAGTTTTTTAGTGTACATCAACATAATTTAGGCAGTAATCTTTGACAAAATTTATTTATTCAATAAAATTTGAAGAAGAAAAAATCAAACTAAGTTTAGTAATATATAAACTATTGTTGATTAGAGTCTAGATTGTGCCTAATTTAGAAATAAAGGTATAAATAATGTAATAATGGTGATATATATTTGTTTTTATTCGATCCAAAATAACAAACGTTATTTATACATTTTTTTTATATTAAGCTACACACAAGTATCAATAATAAATCAGCTATGAACTAGTATGATAAAAATTTGAGTTAAATGATAATATTAATAACCTATGGATGTTTTTAACTACAAAACAAATATATTTCAATATTTTCCATATTTTAGAAAAATACAAAAAAGTAATAATAGTAAGTATATTAATATTATTTATCTTAGCAAACAATTTTAAAACTTAACGAATATTTTTCTTTTAAAAGTAATTAAATAAAAAATATTTTAGATTAACAAGCTAAAATATTAAATCAGAAAATATTTTCTTCGAGGAGACAAAAAGTTAAAAATGTAGCTTTATTGTATAGAATTTATTAATAAAACATTTTTATTTAATGTTATTCTAGAAATAATGTAAATAAAATATCGAGTGTGGTAATATCAGTCGATTCATTTTATTTTGTAATTTCTTTTATTATTACAATGCATCTTTTATAAAAAAAAAAAAAAAAAACAGAGGAAATTTTGATGATGCATTTATCGAAAATGTGCAAAATTTTTTAATATGCATCTTTTAATAAAAAAACTACATAAACTTATGGTAACCTTTATTTTTTGACTGTTAATTAAATTAATAAACATAAAAATTACAAAAATTTAGAGAGTTAACATAAATAGAAGGGAATCGCCCATTTTAAATAATAACATAAAAAAGTAAAATCACAGATAAGTAATGAGATAAAAAAGTTCAAAACTCAATAGAATTTAATATGATTTATATAATTTTAGAAGAAACAAGCTATTACATAAAATTTATGCTGTGAGACCTTATATGAAATATTAATTAGTTAATTTCGTTAAATTACACTGAAATTAATTTAATAAAACATATAACATTTTTATGTAATTTAAAAATATATTCATCAAAAAAATTATTTCAAGAAATATAGCCACAACTTATACTTCCACTATTTATAGAACTAAATTTAGTGTCACTAAATACAAAACGTATAAAATTACTCTGGACTGATTTTATATTTTTATTACATCAGTGTTAAGTCATATATATGAATATGTATTTATTAAGATAATAGTTGTTTTACCTTTTCTAAAATTTTTCCATGACTCGTTCAAAATATTATTCTACAGATATAAATTTTAATAATAATCACTTACAATCATCATAGTGATTAGGAGTATGATAATACTGAAATTAAATTATTTTTATTGGGTGCACCCCTCTATAACAGGAAATTGAAGAATTACCTGTAAAGTTCAATTAATTTATGAATTCCAACTTGTGTTCCAAATATTTAATAGGTTTAAAAATTTGCTCAATTTATAATTATAAATATAATAATACTTATAATTATATTGATAGAACAATAGTTTTAGGTAACGCGTGAAACATGATAAAGGCAGAACAACGATCATCTTAGCAGTTATTAGACATTATAAGCTCATATTAATTCTTAAAAAATGAAACGAAATTTTTTTATAAAATTTTTATAATAGTAATTTACCAAAGATTAGAATGGTAAAATTTTAAATCTAATTTAGGAGGAGCTCCTTTCTTTCCGTTGTGGTTATCATTGAATTCTTTTTCAGATGGAAGAACTGTGACGACATTTGGTTTATTGTCTTTGAATTTGTTATTTACGCTGTTTAATAATAATAAAAAACATATATTTGATAAACTAACTTAGTTCGAGGAAATAGTACAGTAAAGTCGCTTACATGGCAGTATCTGGGAGTATATTTTAGAATTTTATATTGATCTACTTTATAGTACAATATAAAATTTAACACACTAAAAAACCGTATTTTTGAATGCTTGTATGATAAAAATATTTATTATTATAATTAAGTTTTAGATAAACTTTTTAAAATATACTAATTACTGTTACAATTCGTTTTTTTTATGAAAACGTATAATTTTTGGTGTATTTATAAAGTTTGTAAATCAATTTATTAATACAAAAATGGAACATTTTAATATGTATTATATTTAAGTTATAAATAATTTAAAAATTATTGAGAAAGGTCAATATAATGATCATACAGCAATTAGATTAAATTTAGTAGAAGATCTATTCATTGGTATGTCACAAAATTAATTACAATATGTACATATATTTTCTAGTTATATTAATAAAATGCTATATTCTGTAATTTTGTTTGAAAGGGCATTTGTACAGAAATTTAGACTAACAAAAAATCTTGTACTAAGCTTAATTAATGAACTACGTCCATAAGGGCTAAAAGTATTAATCCCCATCTTCAAATATTTTATAATGACTATATACATTATTTTCTAAATTCTTAAAGATCTAATTTGTTAATTTATAATATAAAACTACTAATTAATTTTTCAAGAAGATTTTTTGTGGAAACTAATTCAAATAATAAAACTTTTCCTGCTTAAAATTTTATTATTAGTTTTGATGGGAAGCTGAGAAAGTTTGTGATAGTGTGCGTTTGTTATTTAAGACTATCTATAAAAATTATCTTGGTGAACCGATTTTAATAATCAACTCGTCTAAAGAATCCGATTTGAATAAAGTTGAACATGTTGTCATCAAAAATTGAAAAAGACCATCCAATTTTTGGAATTTTGAAAAGTGTTTCAAAATTACGTTACTGTAAAAAAGGAATTTTCAAGGAAATATTGTTTGGCCTATCATTTTGATTTAACATTTTTGTTATATTTTGCCATAACAATTGAGATTCTTGCATAGTAGAAGATAATTCAAATTTTTTGGTATTAAATTTAGGGTGTTTATGAACAAAATCAATTAACAATTGACCTTTTTTACTTTCATTGTAAAAAATAACACTAAAAATTAAATTAAAAATACTAACGAATAAACAACAACGGATTTTTCATGAGTAAATTTTGTTGTTATCATAAATTTGATTAACATTAATAATAAAATTAATATGAAGTATAGTACAGCCAATTTAATTAACCACATCACCCTTATAATTATTGGATTAAAATGACATTAGATAAGACGATGTACGATTAGTGCATCGTTATGACTAAAGTCATAATTTAATGTTTTAGTGTGTTAAAACATTGGTAAATGATTAGTCCAAGCTCAAAAATAGACCCCCTGATACGCTTTGTCTCAAGTTCGAGACTAGATCATGAGCAATTATATTTGCTGACTAGAGATAAATTCAGTAATAAATATTCCATTATTAGAATAGCTACTCCTTTCTCTAGCGACAAACTAACTAACCGTCCTCGAGTATTCAAAGTTCAGAAACAGTCTCATTGAAGAGGCCGCTACGGTCATTAATGATCTATGGAATTTTACTTACATATCTGCGTTGACAACGTATTTATCGTTAACATGCGTTGCGCTATTAGCGCCATGTAAAATCTAGAATAAAAATGATAAATCTATAAAGTGTATATATATATATATATATATATATATATATACACAAATGTAACAGTTCAATGATTATAACATTAAATAAATTTAAACATTAAGTTTAAAAAGTTAGAAGAAATTATCAATTCATAACTATTTTAATTTAGTTAAATTATCACTGAGCGATAATTTAATAATTTCTCAATATAAATACTCAATTATAGTATAAATCATTACAGTGGTGGGCGTGATATAGTTGGGTCAACTAAGGATGATATCTGACAGTGATTTAAATCGCTATCATAAAAAACGCTTTGATGCAAGTCCGTAGACAGTGATTAATTTATAGTAAGAATTATTGAAATATTTTAAAAGCAACATGAACTCATATTTCCTTAATTTTAACATGATTACAAGATTTATAAGTACAATACATGAATAAACGCCTATAATAGTAATTCAATTTAGTATGAAATTGATATTAATTAATTTAGTATTGTAAATTTTACGGAGAAATTATGAAGTTGTTGTATACCGAGTGTTACTTTTAATATCAATCAAAATAACAATTATATTAAGAAGAATATTTTTGATATATTTTAATTTTATATATTTCTTGATTTATTAATTATTTAGTTTTTAAATTTATCTCTTGTAAGGGTGTTAACTTTATTGTTTTAAATATTAATAAAGATATTTAACTAGCTAATAAAATAATTAATGATATAATTAAGAAAATGACTAGTTGAAAAGAATTTTTAAAATAGTACTTCAGACCACTGTTATTATTTATTAACATTTTTAAAAGTACAGTGGGGAGGAACAGCATGGCAAAGTAATAAGAATAACATAACCCACATTTCACTTCCATTCTATATTTTAAAATAGTTATAACTTCCGAAACGAATGGATCTAAAGTTGTCATCGATTAGCTATTTTCTTAGTTAGATCATTTTTAATAAGCTAATAAAATATGTATGTTGCCATTAGGAAAATAAAGATGACACTTATTTAAGGTATTAAGAATGAATTTAAAAAATACTTAATAATTAATAAATCAAAAAATATATAAAACTAAAAACCACCACAAATGATTTTCTATAATTATTATTTTAAGATAAATAGAGTAGCTAATATTAAAATAATTATTCTAACAAAACTTCATAACTTTTTATAATTTTTCCGTAAAATTTACAATACTAAATTTAATAAGTATAATAAGTATTATGTATTATAAGTCGTTCAATAAAGTTTCATTCACGTAACATTTATAAAAATCGGTGACCTTATTACTGAATGCTCCACTTTATACGGTATTTTAAATAAAAGTATATCAAATAAATATTGTTATAATTATTGATGTAATTCTTATATATTTTTTAATATTGTAATAGTTTTTCAAAAGGTTATAGCAATATTAAGTCGAAAAAATAAAATGTGAAATTGAAAATTTGAACACAAAAATAGTATGTTTTTTAACTACGGCACATTTTCACATTTTTACGAGAAACAAGGGAAATTTTTTTATTTTTTGAGGATAATGCTTTTAACTAGATATGTTTTATGATTCTTTGACGTGTCATTGAAAGAAATCAGTCCGGTGAGAGCTAAGAAAAATTGGCGACAGACTGTCGCCTGTGTAAAAAATATTACACAGTAAAATTAATACCTTCAGCTAAAAATGTACTAAATGTACACAACTATCGTTGATCGTTTACTAAGTGACTATAGTATTTCGTTGAATATTTACTGATTTTTATTCACTTTAAATGTACGAGTATTTTTTAATTCGCTCGTATATTAAAATATGCTGAATCATCAAATCGTAAGTGGGTTAAGTTCAGGCACGTAGACAAGGGTGGGCCTGGGTGGGCCTGGCCCCCCTTAAATTTAATGTGGCCCAGAGCCGGCCCCCCCAAATTTAAAATTCAATTATTTTTACGAATTATCAAAAACGTGCTAGGCCTTATATACATTGAAATTATTATTCATTTGTGATTACTATTGAGTAATACAGTTATTATTATGGCTGTATTTTCATTTTTATATTCATAGAAAACGTTATTTGAAAAAGATAACGTTCTAGACGTAATAATAAATGGAATAGCAATTACTCCAAACGTGGTTGTAGGTAAATTTTTTTTAACTCTGGTCTAACAAATGATAACAAACTACCAAGTATCTGCATTGATTAGAATCTAGTTGATTACAAAATTCGATAGAGTATACTCTATAAAAAATTTTTGATAAATCTTATCTTTAATTTGTTTCTTTTTTTATAATTTAGTAGTTACAATAGGTAATTTATTTGTTTTTGTTAATTTGTTATTTGCGTGCTCTAAATAATAGTAATTAAAATATGACTAAAAAAAGGCAGGAATTGTTTTTAATTTTAAATAAAATAAAATAAAATTTTACATTGTTTATAATTTATATTTATTTTAAAATTTTTTATAACTTAATTGTTATTAGTATTTAGGAATAAATTATTTTTTCTTAATAGCTTAAAAGTTGAAAAATTAAATCAGCTTATGTTCATATCATTATTTTATTAGCTTCGATGCAAAGCTGAGAAGGTATTATTTTTACTATGGTGTGTTTTTTTTTGTGTCTGTTACCACTTTTTCTCAGCTCTCACTGAACCCATTTCTTTCAGTAATACGTCAAAAGATCACAAATCGTATCTAGTCGAAGACATTACCCTCAAAAATTGCCATAACTTTTTTATAAAGATGTATGATATCGTTACTTTTCATTTGATATATTTTTTTTATAAATCTGACCCTTTACCTGCCCACGGGGGGGATTTAAAATGACAACTTTTTCACAAAAAATTAACTTTTTTCACTTAAATTTTTAAAATGTTCCGGAAAGTCTGACACTTTTATCTATATCTTAAATTAAAGCTAACGTAATGTACTATTTTATTTAAAAAAATTTCGGAGTTAATTTTGTCTTCACGGTGAAAATGGCTACCGAATGATATTTTTGTGTAAAAATTCTCGATTTTGTATTTTACATTTTTAACTTTATAATGCTATAACTTTTTGAAAAATGTATGGATCAGCACAATTTTTTTATGAGAAATAATATTTTTTAATAATCTCTTTTTCATTCGACATACTTTATCTTAATCAGGATATTAATAAGGAAATAGCAGATCATGTAACTTTTGGAATAATCCACCAATTTTCGAAAAATAAACACAAATTTTGAACTTGTAAGATTCATAGAATGGGATACTGTCTAAGAAGGAGTGGAGGGACCCCCCCACAATCTTTTCATGGTAAACAAATTATGGAAAATGATACAAAGGCCCAAAATTGTTGGCCCCTCCAATAAACATTTTCTGGCTACGTGCCTGGTTAAGTCATATATTCTTTAAAATAATTATATGGGATTTTGTTTGAAAATTTTAAATCAATTAATTTCAAATCGAAACAAGAATCTTCGTGTCATGGTAAAAATAATGATAAAGTTAAAAAAACTTTTTAATATATTTACGTCTGACATGTTGTCTTGATGTTTGTTAGCAGCGTGGCGGCCTATGGTAATTTTACTTCTATATCCATTCATACTGTAAAATAATTTTAAGTATAATAATTATATTTTTTAACAGACTAGAGACTTTACTAATACAATTTTTTTCTACGTAGTAATCAATCATAAATTATACTTTATAATTTATTGATATAAATTTTTTGGGACATAAAATTTACGTTAATCCAAGAACAAAATGTTAAATATGTTTGTGAATATTAATGCCGGATCCAAAGTAACCGTTTATTTTTATAATTCAAAATCCTGATCATAATGCAAATTATTTTTATGTTCTGATTGTTTAACTACTTAAGTATTCAAAATCAAACAATTATAAAAATTTTTTTAAGCTCAAATGAATATTTTTAAATATAATTTTTAATATAAAATAATATTAGCCATAAGTTATAAATAATTTTTATTAATAATAATTCTGTTTATACGAATACTTTTTTATTTGTTTTTATTACTCAAACGGCAAATATAGAACACTTAAAAATTAAAGTTTACCTATTACATTTATCCTTCAGTTGAGTTAGTCCTTAAAATATAAACACAAAATTATTAATAATAACAAATAATATAAGATGAAGTGGAGTAATTGTAAATGAATTTTTTCAGACAAATACATAAGTTTTATTTCAAACTTACTTTAAATACGATAGCAACACATATGAGGAACAAAACTTTTAAATCTAAAATAAAATCTACTAAATATTTTAAGAGAATACATGTATTTACGATTATCCTATTTATTTACATATACCCTACTTCATCTGAATGAGGTAAGGTGTAAGTAATCCTACCTGGAGTATCAAAAAATTCTTCAAAAATTACAAAATTGTTCCCTTGGTCAACAGGTTTTTTAAGCTTAAAATGTTTTACCATGAACTGCAACATTTTTTTAGATGGTCTGTCAATTGCTAATCGTTTTGCTTCCAATTCATTGTCCTGTGGTGGTGAATAATAATATCTATTTAATAAAGAGATATGAAAAATTTATAATAAAAATTTTTATTTTACTTTTAACATATATTCAAATATTTTAACTCCATAACCTTGACGCTGTCTTGTTTCATGGACATAAAAATCTAATAAGCAATATACCATAGCTTCAGAACGAGTCCCCTTTTTGTCGAATAAATATAATTTTTTCCAACCCATTTTAAGGATGCCAATTACTACATTTGAACTAAATAAAAAAATATTTTTATTATGTTTTGATAAATAAATCAAATGAAATAGTTTTAAGCATATAACTGAGTGATATTCAATGCTATTAATAATATTACATACTCATCATTTGTCTGTTCAGTCATCAAATATATTAAATGGTCTGATTTAGCTAACTTTTCAGCGGTTGTTATTGGCATTTTTAAGTCTTGAGCCCTAGCGGATGCCTTTCCCATTTCATCAACAATCATAGCAATTCTTCTTTGTAAGCTATTAACCAATAAGTACATATAATGTTTTTTTTTTCAAAAATAAACATATCTTTTGTTATTAATTGGTAAATAGTTTCAACAAATAAGTAATAAAATATAATCCTACTTGACATCATATTCATAGCCATCTGGTATTAACGAATAGTCAATTTTTAAAATAGATTTTTCAGATAAATCTTTGATATCGAATTTAAATTCCATGATCTGTGCTATGGTATACAGTTAAATTGAAAATGTTTTGTCTTATTTAACAAAATTGAATACTACTATTAACAGATGATTTTTTCGTTAAGGCTATTAAGTAAACTATTTTTTATATAAAATAATTACTATGGTTAAAAATAAACATAACAGCGCAGTACAACGATCGTGTGAGGTTTCTGGTAATAATAAAATGACTTAATAATAAAGTGACTAGGCGAGCATATTTCAATGCGTGGGGAGCCACCCCTTTATTGATTTTTTGAGAGAACCTTTAGTGATAGCTTTGGTTATGGTCGCTTTTTGAATATAAACCAAGGTTGTAACTCAATTTTAAAATGTTATATCCATTTAAAAGTCTTATTTCTAATTGAACTGTGCGTCTTTTGTTTCTCTAAAGAATTTGGGGTCTAACAGAGAGGAGTGGCGTCAACGACAATGCATTGCCTTTAATAGATGATGATGATCACTAATTGTTAAATAAAAGTACTTTATTAATTATATGTCTTAGTCACATAAATGGTCACTTTTAAGGATATTTAATTTTTGAAAATATCGTACAGCGTTATTTAAAAATAGAAGGAAATATTTTTTTCAGGTATACTCCCTATGCTTTTATTGCTTCTAATCAAGAGCTCCAGTGTGATACTTTAAAGTAAACTGTCGCTTACAAAAATTTGGCGACCCAAAGCTTATTTTTCTAAATGTTTTATTGACTGAAGGAGAGATGCGGGTATGACCACTTAGACTTCTCGGGCACCCTCCTCTTCCTAGCCAAATATAAAGATATTAATAATTTCCGAAGTAATGGAGTGAGAGTTGCTATCAACCAGTCATTTAATAACTACATATTTTCTAATGAATTAGCCAGTTAATTATGATTTATGCTATTTGAAAAAATAAAGTTATAAAAATAAAAATACTTTATGATTGATAAATTGAGAAAAACATGGAAATAAAAGAAACAATAAAATATTATTTTAATTTTTCAATTAATAACGAGATTTATCATAAAAGAATCACCCTGTGTACATTAGATATCCCATGAGGCTCTTAATATTTTTATTACAGTAATTCTTATTTGTTTCTTCTTTTTTTAAAATTATTATGATTTTGAACTATTAAAATATATAGTTAAACACAATTTAATTTCCTCTTATGCAATCAGGAAAACGCAAAAGTGATTAAGACTTCCAGATACTCGTGCTTATGAAAATGATAAAATTCCAATAAATATAACAGAAATGAATGATATTAAAAAAGCATGTCTTTGCATTGACCATCTGTACAAAGAATTTTATAATGACATTTTCATATAGCTAATTCGATATGGAAACAGAAGCATTTTAGTATTAAAAAGGAATAACTTAAAATATTTTATTGTTAATTTTTTACTTGAGGGTCTATTTTGATGTTTATAAATTTTGTTTCATGATAATATTGTTGCTTTATATTATTTTACTGTCATAACCAAAAGTTTTGCAATTAATTAGTAATTTTTGTAAAATGAGTCTAAGTATACTATACTTAAGTGCTAATAATTTAAACTAAATTTATGAAAATAGTGTTTACAGAATGTAATTTACTGATTAATAAATTATAGATATTAAACAGTAAATGTTTATGCATTTAAAATTTTTTTTAATTTTTCTAAGAGTTTTAAGTTAACGATGAAGGCCTTTTTTGAATGAAGCGATTTATTTCTTATTATTTTATTATTGTAATTTTTGTGTCTGAATTTAAGCTGATATAATAAAATTAAAAATTATTTAAACTTCAGTAAAATGAAAAAGGTTATTGATTATCAAAAACTTTATTTTTCCAAAATTATAGTGCCGGGATGTGAGTTTTATTTACAATCAAATGGCGTTATTATTTTTCAGTTATTAATATTTAACTGTAGGATATATATCGATAACTATAGATGCATATTAATTTTAATCCGTATTATTATTTTAATTAATATTAATTTCATAACAAGCTTAGTATTTTTAGAAATCAACTGAATCCAAACATATCCTTTTTATATATTTTGAGTATACATGTACTAAGGAATAATTAACTTAGTATATCATGTTGCGCAACGAATAAGGGAGTAACACACTTTTTCTGACTTTTTAGGAGATCAAAAATAAAATTTATTAAGGTTGCCAAAATGTCAAATGATTGATCAAAATTTTTATCAACTGATTAAAGAAACTTTAACTGCTCACATTATAGTCAAAATAAAGAAACAAAAAATATGAAGTTAAATTTAAAATTTATCAGATAACACGGTCCATTTAGTCGTTATTTTATGAATATTTTTTTCGAAATCTGAGAATTTATACTTTAATAATTTGTAAGTTAAGTTTAACGTTTTCACTTTATAAGTAATTTTTTAACAAATTAATTTAGCATTTAGTAATACACTATATTTAGTACAGTACTAAAATAAAATAAAATTGTCCTTAGAAATTTGAGATTTAGATTCCTTAGAAATTTATATAATAATGGAAAAAAATATTAATTGTTCACCACATGAAGATATTGGATTGTTTTTCTTGAACAGTAATAACATAATTCATATATTTTAGTATTTAAGTTTTGTGTAATAATATTATAAAATGTTAAAAAATATATTTCCTTGTAATTTTTATATTAGATAATTGGAATTCATTTTTTCTTTTTAAAAAAAATCTTTTATATGAACAGCAAAATTATCTGTTAACTTGCATACTTCTCTTTAAACATTCATTATTACTATTATTTATTATTAAAATTTAACTTTGAATCCCATAAATTATAACTTAAATTAATTTTTTTAATCTAACTTAATTTCACAAATTAGACAAATTAATCAACCTAACTAGGGTTGGAACTCTCAAGCTTTTTCGGAGTGTGATGAGAAAATTTACAGACTGGTCTTCACATAAATACCGACAAAAATTTGCTAAAACATAGGGTTGGTAAGGTGTTCTACCCCCAACTCTACAGCATAAAATATATCACACACATGATAGTAAGATAGTGCAAGTGTGATAATTGTTATTAAAAAGTTTGTAATGAGACACTTTCATGAGTTACTTTTATGATAGCTATCATGCTCTACTATTTTCTGATTACTATTTACATGTTCTACTATATTAGAATATTAGAAGACTAATAGTTTGATTAATAGTGAAGTTAAAAAATAATAACAATAAATTTTTTTATCAAATTTGACACATCAAAATTAAGTCAATTGACAGGAAATATTTTGACTGGTTATAAAACCAACCTTAAAATTTATTCTCTATTAAATTCTAAACCTTCATCAATTTGGTAAGTATTTTATAATAATTTAAATTAATTGGTAATATATTAATAAAGGTAAATTTAAAAAATCTAAATCCTAAGAAAGTAAACCTCAATTAGTCTAGATATTTTTACATACATGATGACCAATAATTAACATCACATCAAAAAATACTTGGACACACTAAGAAATATTAAAAATAAATTTATATTTTATTGGATCAAAACCATATTCAACAATTCATAATAATTACCTAAATTAGATTCAAAAAAATCTTGTAATAATAAAAACTGAGATCGCAATAATAGAACAATTAATAGCAGTTAACATAATAACATCATAATCAGTATATTTCCATTCGAGTTTAAAATCTTCTTCGATACAGCTATAAGATTGTGATTGGTTTTTTGTTTGATTTTGTTTTTGAATTTTTAACAACAATTGTTTTATTTGATCAGTTTGTAATGAGTGAGATGTGTCAAGTTTTGCTTCTAAAACCATTCTTTTAAATTCATTCATTTTCCAAGCATTTATAACAGTACTACCGATAATTCCAATTACGGTTCCTAATATAGATCCAACAATTGATACATATTTAGTGCGTTCTGCTTGAATTCTTTCTCTATCATGACTATCCTTAAGGGTAGTAGAAAGTAATATAAAACTATCTCTTTCTTCTTTTTCACTTAAACTAACTTGTTCAATAATAAAATTTTCTTTTTTCAATAATGCATGTTCTTGTGTAACTAACTCAATATACCTATCTTCTGACCTAGAAGTATTTAAAAGTTCATTACGAATATCTTTTAATTTATTTTGTATTGCTCTTAATTCTACAGAAACATTTCTTCTTTTGTCTTGCGCAATCATAAATTGTTTCTGAGAATCTAATACTCTATCTTGTGCTATCCGAACTTCACTCAAACCAGTAACTCTTTCATACCATGACACTACTTTATCATAATCTGGTCGATACACTGCAAGTTTATTATATAACTCAGCTTTAGTATTATTAGACTGATAAAGTTTGTCAAATGTTTTTTTTCTGAATATATTATAAAGCTCTTGGATACGACTTTGGTATTTCATTCTTATATAGAATATTATTTAAAGATGTTCTATTAAATCCTCTATGGATTATTTAGATAAAAGCGTCTCTGAAAACAAAATTTCTTAATATTAATAAAATAAATTATAAATATTGAAAACAAATGAAAATTATTCATTTTTACATCACTACTCTGTTTATGTTATTTAGAAAAATCATCTTTTGTTACTGCATTATATGAATGAAATTAAACTTTATGATTGTGGTTTTATGAATTTGAACTACACATTTGAAAATTTTAACAAAAATAAATGTATAATATACGATGATTACAAATATTGGTAGTTAATTGATATTACTTGCTTTTTTATGACATTTCTATTCACATATACAAAATGTTTAATGTTAGTTATGACTTAATTAAAAAATGTTTTTTATATTACCAGTTGGTAAATTTATAAATGTTAACTCATAATATTGTATTTTATAAACTACCATACTTTAAGCAAATTTCTATATATATTATGAAAAATTTGAAACTTTTAAGTTTTGTATTTAATAAATTAATGAAGTTATGTTGTTTACTATTAAATAAAACTTCAAATATTTTATTAAATAAAATTTTGTCAAAGTTGACAAAGCATAAGGGATGAACTTAAAAAGCATTACATAGCTAATAATTCAAGAACAATATGTAATTAAAAATTACCAAAAAGAAATATTTTTTAAATTATTTTTATTCTAAGGCTAATTGGATGGGTTATGTTAAAAAAATCATCCTATATAGTCAATTAATTATAATTTCTTAATGTAATTATTTCCAGAAAATTTGATGTTCTGGTTAAAACTTTTAATAAGAACAATATGCTTTTAAGAAAACCCAATAATAATACATTGAAACATGGACTAATTAATCTAGTATTTTTACAAATATGTAATGGGAAACTGTTTTCCAAGAATAGTATAAAACTATGATATTAGTAAAACAAGTATTAGAAACGATGATGATTTTCAAATTTTAGATAATATGAATTTAGGTATTTCGGTTCAAAATACTGAATTATCCTACTAATAGGATATTAAGCAAAAAATAAAGAAAAAATCACCAACAATAACATTTCATTAAATCATTCATAATCATTAAAAAATCTTAAATGCTTGCCTGTATCACCTTATAATATAAGTAAAATTATTTATTAAAGTATAAATGCATTAAAAAGGTGGTAATTTTTCTTTTCAAGTATGAAATTATTGATGGTTTGTTATTCATTTTTAAAACATTTAATAAATAGAATATATTAAATTGAAACCAATGACCTGTGATGTCAAGGGTGTTCAATAATTTCTTTTTCAAAATATAAAAGGTAATTAAGTAATTATACCTTATTTTTGATGCCATAGTTATATAATTTTCATAGAAATTTATAAACACGAAGTTATTTATTTAAAATGTTTGAATAATTAAATACTGAAGAAAAATTTTTTACTGCTTTAGTTAGTAGAGGTACGAAAATATGATTGGATAGTATAAACTGAAGATAACAGTTATCAGTATTAAAAATCAGTTTAGCCAACATTTTAGATGTTGTTTTTGTAATTATTATAGTGCTGAATGTTCGTGTATAAAATGTTTGTAATCTAATAAAAAAAACTCTTTTTGGAAAATTAATTTTGATTTTAGTTTATTATAATGAAATAAACAAATTTAATTCAATTATTTATAAAATTTTTAACTTATATTGAATTTTTTTTTTTTATGGAGAAAGTTGATGTTGATGAAATGTGTTTGTGTTGATAAACGATTAAAATGGCCGCCGTTTCGTTATGAGTGAATACATAGTTTTTTTAGTAATTAATGAAGAAAATAGAATCAACTAGATAAAAATTCGATTATTTTCGTTATTTAATGGACTGGTATACAAAAAAATGTTCTTGTAAAAATTATATTGTGAAATAAGTTACGTAAATTCACAATTATGGTACATTAAATGCTTGACGAGTGTTTATGTCTAATAACATGTTGTGAATATTTGTGATAAATAGTAAGTGATTTTATGATTGTGCATTAATAAATAGTTTAAATATTGCGAAATGAGTAAAAGAACAGGCCGTAAACCTAAGCGTACATCAAGAAGACGTACTAGAAGGCATTCTTCAACATCGGAACCAGAATCGGTTGAAGAAGTGCCAGTTAAAACTAGATCAAGCAGTCGAATTGATGAAAATGAAAAAAAAGTTGCTCTTACAATTAAACTACCAAAACCAGATACTGAAGTTTGTAATGATGATACATCAACGGGTATGTGGAAGGTAGAATGTTCTAATGGATCAGATGGAGACATTCAAAAACTCAAGATTAGTTTAAGACGTTCTCCTAAAGATTTGATAAAAGAACAAGCTGCTGAAGCAAAATATGCAGCTGTCAAAGGTGGTAAAGAAGAAGCTGCTGGAAGTTCTTCAGTGAATTCTTCAGTATTAGATGGAAGTGTTACTAATTACTTGGACAGTTCTGTAACAAAAGAAAAAGTTGAACAAGATGAGTCTAACAATGCTAACCAAGGTAATTTTTAATTTATTCAAGTGATTTGTGTAAAAAATATGCTTTAATTTATAGCTGAACATTTTTTAATTAAATGTGTATAAATTATTAATTAATTGAAAACCTAAAAATAATAATTTTTATAATATAATTCAAATTTTTAAGTAATATTAAGGTTATTAACATACATTACATATAGTTATCAACTATATTTATTTATTTTTAATTTAAGTTTTATTTAGTAGCATTTTATAAAAAAAATGTGTGCATGCATAAATAACATTAATCAAAATAGTTCTGTGTTTAAACAAGTGTTAAAATCTTCTAATACTGTAATAGAAAGAAAATCATTTGGTACAATTTAGTTCTTTTACATTATACCCATTACGTGTTGAAACGAGTTATAATTAAACTATTTTAGCCAGGTAATTCGGAAGAAATTAAAGTCATCTAAAAATTATCTTAATTGACATATTGTGTTAAATTTAGAATAGAAAATTTAATTAATGAGTACTTGTAAGAATTAAATTAATTCCAAATATAACAAGAATTAAAATCAATATTTGATGCAAATTAATATGTAAAGTAAAAAAAAATTATGATTATATGTGAAACTCTTTAGTCTTCAAGATATTAAACAGTCACAAACAATTATTTTTTTCGTCATAATTCTTTGAATTTTTAAATTTAAGATAACAGTTTAAAAGTTTTGTTATAAAATAATAAAATTGTTATGTCCATAGTTCAATTATAAAGTTGACATTTAACTAATAGATAATGTGTGCAACTTTGTAAAAACAGTTAAAATGAGAGCTCAAGATTAAATGTATTTACTAAGCTTTTTTTAATCATCTTAAAACGTATGATAAATAAATGTTCATGTTAATTTTACTTAACACTAAACTAAGTTTTGGGGGATGTAGGTGGTATCATTCTTCCCCTAGAACAAAAAAAATTTCTTCTGTACTATATACTTATACTAATATTTTACGGAGTAGAATGTCTCAGAAATCATTCAAACAAATTTTATAAATGCATAAAGTCCTTAGTCTTTACATAAAAATAATATGACACAAAATTTTAATAATAACATTTTTTACTGTGATGATAGAAATCTCTTATAAAGCCTAACTTCAAGCTTTAAGTCATATATTAAGTATGATTAATGATTTGGGATCTCTTAAAATAAAAAGAATCTCCATAAAAATGTATTTTAACTAATTTTTCTTACAGCTAATTTGTACTTCATTTTTATTGTACATAAACTTATTTTTTAATTTTATATGTCAGTCTTTTTAAATTTAACATACTTTGAGTGTCTTTTTTTTTTTTTTTATAGAAAAATAGGACTGGGTAGGGCATTTTGTTTGAAACTTTAGGTACTCTTGAGCTATAAAATTGGTTGACCTTAGTTTTATTTTGATGATAAAACATTTATGTAGAAATGTACATAATATGAAGAAATAAAATTAATTTCAAAAAGAAAGGTGCAGTAAATATATTTTAGTTTCACGATACAGTACAAAAACGATAGGTTCTTACATAATTTAAATTTGTTAAATTAAATTATCATGTAGTTATAAAATTGATATTTGATGTTATTACTTCTTATGTTAGCCATAGAAAACTCAATAAAGGCGCAGATGACAAAAAAATAATAATAATTATTATTAAATTATTAGGGGTAATAACTAAATTAGTAATTTTTCATGTATTACATATATTTAATTTAGTAGAATTTTTACGTTATTATTTAAGCATTGACTTTGATAGGATAAGGAATGAGCATATAAGAGGGAGTATAGCTGTAGCATCAATCATGGATAAGATGAGAGAAAATAGACTTAGATAGTTTGGTCATGTTATGAGGAGAGAAGAATCGGAAGCTGTAAGAACAGTTATAGAAATGAATGTTGAAGGAAGAAGAGGTAGAGGAAGACCAAAAAAGAGATGGAAGTATGCTATTGAATACAATATGAGGACAGCTGATGTGGGTGATCGTGTCAAGTGAAAGGCTAGGATAAGAGTGGCCGACCCCAAGTAGTTGAGATTAAGACGTGGAAGAAGAAGATTTAAGTATTGACTTAATTTATTTATATGCAAAAAATGACTCAATATTTATTGTAGAGCTTTACATTTTTTTTATGTAACTATAATCAATATCATATATAAAAACAGTTAATATTTTTTTTTTTTAAATAGAGGAAGAAAAAGACAAAGAAGAACCTGAAATTCCTGTTGAAACAGTATCTTCTATTATTCAAGAAACTGTAATTATACAAGCTAATATTACTAAAAGTAGTGATATAACACCTTCTGAAGTTTTAACACCTCAATCTGAGGACACAGTTGTGGAAAATATATGTACTGATAATATTAAGATCAATGTAGCTAACACTAATGAAACAATTGAAAATATATCGGAACCAATAATGATAAGTGAAGCTAATGATTTGTCTAATGCTATACAACAACATGCTTTAGATTCAAGTTCAAAACCTCTAGATGAGAAATGTAAATTATCTGAGACTACTTTGGATGATAAAGTAGAACATACGGATACTACTATTTTATTAGAGTCAAAAGAAGAGACTCGAGAATGTTTGCCTGAATCTGTAGAGAGTATAATAAGTAATTTAAATGATCCTAAAACAATTGAAAAATCTAATCATAGCAATACTATTAATAAAATTCAATTAGAAAATGTGAATAAAATAGATGTTAATGATTCTGAACAAATGGAAGATGTTGTACAGCTAACTGTCGAATCTCCTGACTTAGTTGACGAAGATGAATCTAAACCTGTTGAAGAATTAAATTATGTGTCTTCATCAGAAAATATCATAACACAAGATAAAATATCAAATGATACAAAAACAGAGCATGTAGAAACATTTAGTGATACATCAAACTCACATTTTACTCATCCAAAGCGCAAATGGGGTTCTTGTAAAACAAGAATTCCAATAACGATTAATCCTTTTACATTAGGACTAATTATTGAATCAAATGGCGATTCCATCGGTGATAATGGTGAATATCGTTCAGAAGAAGGGGAGATTCAAAAGACGGATTCTGAGGATAATAACTCAGAAGAAGAAGGTATGGAAATCAATGATACTATGATGATAGACCATGAAACTGTTGATTATGAAGCACCTGATGATGAAGATAAAGTTGAAAACGAAGAAAATAAATCTGATAAATCATTAGAAGAACCTAATGTTGTTAAAGAACCTATTAAAAAAAAATCTATGAAACGTATGTCAAGTGTAATACATATAACAAATCTTGTGCGACCATTTACTGTAGGACAGCTTAGAGATTTATTACAAAGAACAGGTAAAATTGTCCCCAATGGATTTTGGATTGATGCAATCAAATCTCAGTGTATTGTAGAATATGAAAATGAAGACCAAGCAATTGAAACTGTGTATGCTCTTAATGAATCCCAGTGGCCTTCAACTAACCCAAAGTTTTTAAAAGTAGTATTTAGTGACAAAGAAGAATTAAATAAAGCATTGAATGGGTCAAATTTAGATCAAACAGATAGACATAAAATATCAAAAGTTGAAAAACTTAGAGTGCAGATTGAAAATCATAATACAATTCTAAGAGAATGGGATAAAGGTAAATTAGAAGATATGAATGGGGATGATGAAAAACCTAATAAAAGAAAATTATCAGATGGTGATAGTATGATTAAAGACAAGAAAATAAGAAAAGATGAAAAAGATTCTTCAGATAAAAAAAAGAAATCGAAGTCCAAAACTCCTGAACGTGTACCAACTAAGAGCTTAGATGAATTATTTAAAAAAACTAAAACTACTCCAACTTTATATTGGTCCCCATTATCTGCTGAAGAAATAGCAGAAAAAGAAGATCAGCGCCGTAAACATTTAGCTGATATGGAAAGATCACTAAAAACCGATCGAAGAAGAAGAGATAATAATAACTATCCTAGAAGACGTTAATTTTGTATATAATAAGTATTTTATACATAAAAAAGAAAACCTACAATTTTTTTTACAATATGGTACTTCTGAGTTTTGTCTTTAAATCAGAATGTAAACTCATTAACAAATAGTAAAAAAAAAGAAAATTATTGTAGGTTAATTTTTTTTCATATTCTGTTTTTTATTTAGGGATTACTATCCAAACACTGTTTTTATGATGTAATAATTATAAATCGTCTTTGCGATAAATAATTTTATTTATCATAATAAAGACTGTATAGAATGAAAAGACCTATAGTTATTTTGTTATGTATTGATTTTCAAAAAAAACTATATGATAAACTGTGATGTATAATAACATACAATTACTTATTGCATTAGATTAAGTGAGTTTTCAGTTTGTTTTAAAGTGGGAACAAATGTCTTATGCTGATTTCTGCAATACATAAATATGGTTATCTTGTAGGTGCTTATAAAATTATTTGGTAAATTTTATAGTGTTGAATTTAACCCTTCCTTGGTTACACTGTTGTAATAAACGCGGAAACAACTGGTGCAATGTCTTCGTTTGGTTTAGAAACCATAAAAACATTTTTTCTCTCAAGAATTGTGTTTTAATATAAATTATATAAAAAATGAAGTAATGCTATGTTAAAATTTTTTATTAATATTTAAAGAAAAAGCAATAAGATAATAGGAAACAAAATTATTTATCACATTTTAAAGGAATCCTTTACATATTTTCAATATTTTGGCATAAAATTTTTTAATAATAAGTATATTTAAAATTTTTGCAAATGTATTAGTGTATAAAATGTATCTCCTAATTATAAATTAAATAACTAAAAATAAATTATTTAATTAAAAAAAATAAATTTTTCAACGTCTCTATATATTTTTGCTTTGGAACAGCCCTGGATTTACTTAATGTTGAGTTAAATCGCAAATAATGCAATAAGTTATAATTAACTTTTTTTTCAAAAATAGACTATTTGATTTATAAACGTATTATTTGAAATATAATTTCAACTCTGTAGTATTGAGAGAACATAAATAGTGGTTATCTCTTTCGTCTGTTACTGAATAGTTATTCATAAAAACTAGAAACTCAGGACACGAGCAAAGACATTACATTCACCATCAATTTTACAATGTCGAAAAAACGAATTTAAAATATATCTTAAGTAATTTAAAATAAAAAATAGGTACTATCAACCTATGAATGATTTTGTGGATTGTCGTTTTGATTGAAACGTTTATGAATGTATCCACGTTTTCAGTTATGAGCTGACGTTTCGAATTCATTGTAGAATCCATCTTCAGAGCGATAATTACAGAATCGTAGTTAAAATTAACTGTCGGCTTAGCTTGTTTACGGTATGTTTTTATGTCAGTTGATAACTGTTAACGTAAATGTTGATTTTGATTATTATAAAATTGATGATGAATGCAACCTTTTTTATCATGTTCTGAGATTGTAGTTTCTAAGAATAGTTAACTAATAAATAATGATAATCGCTGTTTTTGTGTTCTCACCTTCCCATTACCCATGTAATTCCTAAATGAGTTTGAGCAAGAAAATGACCAATGGTTAAGTCATACAAATAAAGGAGCAATTTTGCTCATAGTAGTATGATTGAAGTTCATGAACTAAAGAAAAAGTAAAATTAACCACGAAGTAGTTATGATATCTACTTTATGGTCAATGTTTCCTATCAAAGCTATCATAGTTTTAATAGAATTTTTTTAGGAAGTTAAATTTGGCCCTTTTTAACAGTTACATTTTTATTGAGAATATCATTTATTTTTGCTGGTTTAAGTCAATAAAATATATTATTCTTATGAACCATTAAAAAACAGAAAGGACGTCTGTCCACCCTCATGCTTCTACCTGTAAGACCATTAATTTTGAAAAAATAACAATTTTGTGATTTTTCCTTTTCATGCATTGTAAGACTAACTTTTGTGTAGTTGTTTTCAGTGTACATTTATTTTTTATCTAATGATATATTACTTTTGAGTAGTGGTCCTATTCCAATGAAGAATTGAAAATTAACACAATTGGCTAAATAAATATTAAAAATGAATCGGTAATTTATGTCTTATATATTTAACTTGGTATAATAACTTTTTACAATATGCTTGACAAATTTTAAGATTTTGAATATTTCATAATACTAGAGATCAGGTAACTACGGTACTAAAACTACCAAGTTTTGTCAAGTTAACTTCAGACTGTCAAGTTTTTCTTTTACATTACAGGAATTTTTTTTATAAGAAATTATGTGTTCAATGAAAATTTATGAATTTATACATGCATATGTACATACATATGTGTATGTAAATCTCAGAGTAATAATTATAAGATGATAGATTAGAATTTAATTACTGATTTGAAGGGAGTGTCATATAATTATGATATTTCTTTTGAATAGGTGGTAAATTTCATTTATGATGATATTCAATGTAAAAGTGATTTATTTAAATAATAAAACAAAAAATAAAAAAATACTTCAATTCCGAGTATTTACTGAATATATTATAGAATATATTTATTACAATTGATAATATTATTTTTAATTATATTTAATTTAAAAAATTATTTATTAATTATATGTTGTCAAATCTCCCTTGAATAATTTCTGCATATGCTCCTTATAGGTACTTATATCATTGAAAGTTATAGAAGCTGATGGTTAGGTATCTCATTGTTTCCTCTACTATTTATATAGTTGTATAAATAGAAGAAATATAATACTCATATTTAAACTAAATTGTCAATGTATTTATTTAATTATTCAAATTTATTGTTAAAAAGTAAAGTGAAATTAAATGGCATTTAGCTAGTATTATTACATACATCAGCTTCAATTTTTTCCAGTAAAAGCTCTAGCCTTTCTTTCATTACTGGCTGCCCTTTTCTTGTTTTTTTACTTAATTTTTTGTTCTTATACCTTTTCTTTTTGTTATATTCTTCCATTGCTTGACGGATTTCTTCTTTACGTTTTAGAGCCTCTAAACGTCTAGTTTTTTTATCTTCTTGAATTTGTTTATAGCGCTCTTGAGCTTCTTTGTATGGGTTTAATCTAAAATTGAAGTTAGAATATTAAAATTCTTAGATAACTTTAAAATTAATTCTTTATAATCATAGTTACTAAATACGTTAAAAATATTTTTTGATAATAATTTCTCACCTTTTGGTTGGTTGATGACTTAAATCGTTATTACTACGAGTTTTTGTCATTTTTAAAGAATTTGACTCATTTAGCTCTTTAAAGTACTTCTTTATTACTGCTTTTTTACGGCGCTCATCCCATTCTTGTACTAGAACAATAAAGGGGTTTAAAATAATATTACTTCTTGAATTGGATTAATATTTGTATTATTGTAAATTAAAACACACTTTTCTGTTTTTTGCTATACTTTTTCGTCCGCCATTTTTTTTTGTCAAATGGCGTTTTAGTGTTACTTGAGTTGGATGACATAACTAAATGATAAAATAAGATTATTACATTTTTTATTAATTAATTTTCACACATTATAATGAACAAAGTTAAAAAAAAGCAAATTATTTTTAAATAAAGTATAAGTTAGTACAGCATGTGTATAAATTTATATATGAATACCTAGGGTTTGGAGAAATTTCTTTATTTAATCTTGAATTTTTAACCTTTATTTAATAAGATAAAAAAGTCAATTTAATCAATAAGTTATGAAAATTAACACTAATTAAAATTATTTCTTTAGATAAGTTTATAAGTTTTCAAAAATATAAATAAAATTAATGTCCACAATAATAAATATTTTTGTTGTTTTATTATGAAGATTTTTATATCATTAGTTATAATAACATTTATAAATTGTACTATCTTAAAATTTAATCTGATAAAAATCGTGTGGTTATCATAGGATAGTTTATTATTGAATTCTTAAAATGTAACAGTTTTTTCGAAGATAATTTCTAGGTAATAATATAAACTAATCTACGTAGCAAAATATTTTTTAAATTAAAACAATGTCGAAAATATTTACTCCTACCAATCAGATTCGATTGACAAATGTGGCTGTTGTACGAATGAAAAAGGGTGGTAAACGTTTTGAAATAGCTTGCTACAAAAATAAAGTTGTTTCATGGAGAAATGGAATGTTTGTATAATTAAAATATTTCTCTGTTATATATTTTTTATTAGTAATATCTCAGTTGGGACTATCTAGTATATTTCTGTTCTCTTCAACAAAATGTATTAAATACTTACTATGTCTTTGGATGACTTTTTACTAGAATGAAGAATCACAACTGATTTTTGCTAAATTATTCTTCAGTTTACAAATGGATCTTACTGAATTTAAGATTAGTTACAATTGTAGTTAAACAAGATTATCTTATTAAATTTATTATACAATTTCTAATAATAAAATTTTATGTCCATATTTAGTGGAATAAATTTTTATACATATAATATTAATTTTAAACATATTAATATTATTGTTTTTTTGTTTAACTCATTTCTAGAGAAAAAGATATTGATGAGGTCCTTCAAACACACTCAGTATTTACAAATGTATCTAAAGGGCAGGTAGCTAAAAAAGAAGATTTACAAAAGATATTTGAAACTGATGATTTAACAAAAATTTGTAAACATATATTAGAAAAAGGGGAATTGCAGATTTCTGACAAAGAAAGAAATGCTCAATTAGATGCATCTTTTAAAGATATTGCCACAATTGTAGCAGGTATTACTCATAATTTTTGAACTTTAATGTTAATATATAGTATATAGTTTTAACATATTTTTGTAGATAAATGTGTAAATCCTGAAACTAAAAGACCATATTCAGTTACAATGATTGAAAAAGCTATGAAGGATGTTCATTATTCTGTGAAACCTAATAGAAATTCAAAACAACAAGTATCTACTTTTATTAAATACTTTGAAACAGGAGATTCTTAAAAAGAACTTAAGGAATGAAACTACTCTAAAATTCATGGAATAACTTTTTTTTTTACTTAAAACGGTACCATCTTCCATTGTTAAGGGAGACTAATATGAGCTTTTCACTCATTTACTCACATCCTTGTACAAATTTATATAATTTACTTATTGTGCATTAATTTACAGATTGTAAATATTCTTATCCATAATAAAATTTTATTATTATTAAAATTAAAGAAATGGTACCTATGAATAAAAAAAAGTTATTTTTAGTTCCTCTTTCTAAAATAAATTCCTATATTTATTAAGTGTTATTTAAACGATTTATTTTGTGTATCAATAATTTTTTATTTTTAAAGTATTTTAAGTCATATTTTTTGTGATACTGAATCACTAGGTGATTCTTATAATCCTAACTGCTCGATTTCTCTTAAAAAAATAGTTTTTCATCAATTATTTTTTATTGCTTTTGTTAGTAACATATGTATCTTTATTTATCTGTTATAAAATATTTTTTTTTATCATCTCTTATGTTTTATAGAGATGTTATCTTTATTTATATTTTTATAATAAAAATATAAATATTTAATTAGTTTAATTATTAGAAAATAAACTCTAAGAAAATTATGGATAATAAATTTTGGACCAGTATTTCAGAAGTTCTTAACATTTTATAGATAGCTAGGCAGGAGGAGTAGTGAGGCCAAGAAATCTATAATGATAAAAATAGCAGCACCCACTCCTCACCATGAATCATTACTTTAAATTGTTAATAATTTCTGTAATGCTGGTCCAAAAGTTATTATTGGCGAGTCATTTTCTTAATTAGATTGTTTTCTATTTATTAGGCTAGTTTAATATGTATGTTTAAAAAAAAAATGTAGCACAGGGGGGTCGACGCACAGTAGTGACGTGGCATAGTTGGATCAAGTATAATGATATCTGACAGTGATTAAAATCACTATAAAAAAAAACGCTTCGATGCTAATCTTTAGATAGTGTTTACTTTTAAAACATTGGTGGATTATTCCAAAATCTACATGATCTGCTAGTTCATTATTAATATCCTAATTAAGATAAAGTATGTCGAATGAAAAAGGGATTATTAAAAAATATTATTTCTCATAAAAAAATAATGTTGATCCATACACTTTTCAATATGTCATAGCATTAAAAAGTTAAAAATGTAAAAAATAAAATTGAGAATTTTCACACAAAAATAGCATTTGGTAGCCATTTTCACCATAAAGACAAAATAAAGTCCGAAATTTTTCCATGATAAAGTATATTACATTAGCTCTAATTTAAGATTTATGTAAAAGTGTCATACTTTCCGGAACACTTTCAAAAGTAAATTTTTTGTGCAAAAGTTATCATTTTGAAACCCCCTCTGTAGGCAGGTAAAGGGTCTGATTTATAAGAAAAATATACTAAATGAGAGGTAAAGACATCAAGCATCTTTAAAGAAAAATTATATTGATTTGTTCATTTTCTAAAAAGTTTATGGCAGTTTTAAGTAAAAAAATTTAACGATTTTTAAATTTGTAATTTTTATAAGAAATATTTATTCATATATTACACTTGTAATTGGAATATAAATAAGGAAATAGGAGATCATGATGTTTTTTTTAATCCACCAATTTTTTAAAATTAATCACTGTCAGGTATCATCTATACTGGACCCAACTATGTTAGGACCCCACAGTGCTGGGATTTTAAACTATACAGTGTACAACTTCAAAAAAATAAAAGTTTAAATTAAATTAGCAATAAAACGAGTACTTAATTATTGACTTTGAAACTTCAATTATTCATAAGTAATTCAAAATTTTAAACTAAATGTAAAAGTTATAGTTTTTAATTTTGTAGATATGCAAATTAGTATTATCACCATTGACTTTATTGTAAGTAGGGTATAAGCATACAATGTGCGCTTATATCTGTTATATACACCTATTGCTGTATGAACACTGTATATACAGAAATTTCAAAGGTGGCTAAGCACTCTTAGATTTTTTTACAGTTCCAGATTGTATTTATAGTGGCAAGCTAAAAATAATTTGTCATTGAACATTTTTATAGGGTAATTGTGAAAGTATTTTTTTTTAAAATAAAAACAAGTTTTTTTCTCAAACTTCCATTTAATATGATAGCAACATAAATAAGGGCTAGAACATTTCAATTTAAAATAAATTTGTTAAATTTTCTAAGTGAAAAAATTAATTTACTATTTCCCAATCTACTTATATTTACCCCCACATCATCCTACTATGATAGTTTGATTAATATTATAGTTTTAATACCCACAAGATTTTTTCTGAAGTAGACCTATAAAGAAGGGGCTTAAAAACCACAGCTTAAAAGCTGCTGTAATTCACTTTAAATTTTGAAAAATATGTTTTTTAAACTAATAATATAAAGTAATTTTGTTTTCAAAATTTTAAAACAGGTAATAAATATTTAAAACAAGATTTTCATGTAAAATTTGTAATTTTTTTAGATTATGAACAATTAAAAAGAATTATTAACCATAATTCATGTTTTAATTAGTTATTAAACAAAATTTTTTCCTAATATAATTATATAAATTATGAAATCTATGTTAGTATCTTAGAACTAATCATTAATGGTAAATTATTTTTAGGCTCTTGAAGTAATAAGGTTAATTAAGACTGTACTTCCAATTGATAGAGCATTGATGCGTGTTAAAATTGAGTCATCAAGTAAAGATGCAAAGAAGCTCAAAGATAAGTTTTTAACATTAGCATCATCAATTGAATCTGAATATTGGGAAACTGGAGAAATAACTATGGTTTGTTAATATTTTAAACTATTGTAATATTTACATACTCTAGATACTGTACATTTTATTTACTTGCATTTAATAAATTTTATACTCGTGAATAATTTAAATTTTTTAAATAATCTCTAAAGTCAAGTTTTCTAAAAAATCTTTATTAAGTATTTCTCTAAATCGCAAATCTGATTACAAATGCATTTTTTGAACATTATTTTTAAGAAAAATTTAATTACTTTAAGTTAAATTATACAAAAAAATATACTTCTTTAAATAATAAATAACTGAATGCTTGTAATTTATTATTATTCTACAACAATAATTTATATAATTTCAGGTTCTTTTAATTGATCCTGGAAATTATAGACAAGTGGATGAACTTGTTAGATCAGATACTAAAGGTACAACTCACATGGAAGTACTTAGCTTGAAAGAAATTGTTGAAGGAGATACATTATTAGATTAAGTAAACATTTTTTCTTTGTCTAAGTAATAATCTTGTAATTTTATTTATGTAAAATCCTGTTACATTAATTATGTGATAAATAATTAAAATATTATACTGTTGAATAACAATTATTTGAGTTATTATAATATTTTTGATAAAAAGAACATATATTAGCAAAATGTTATTTTAATAAACTCTGAAAAATTATCCATCTAGATCTATTGATTAGTGGCGTTATTTGTAGGGTGAGGGTGGGAATTTGCTCCCCTTGAAAAATAAGTTTTGTAATTTCATTGGATGTCCACAAAATTTTAATTTGTGTCAAATACTATCAATAATATGTAATTTTTCCTTATCACTTAATAATATTTTTTACACTATCATAGACTTTTAAAATACAGCTGTGGTAATAAAAATATATAACGAATGTTTGAATTATGTGTTATCTTTTACCAGTGAAAAGTTAAATATTTTGTTTATGGATTTATACTTTTAGTGTGCGTAAAATAGTGCTTTTTAAATTTGCAAAATAAATATATTAAATTTAATATTTCTTTTTACAGATGTAAAAAATAGTCTATGTTTTTCATCTTTCTATCAGAAGAGACGAAAAAAAATTATTTACCTATTATTAATATAGAGTTTCTGTTATAATGAGTGTAATAATTAAAATTTATCACCTGTATTATATTATTTCCTTATCGATTAATTGAAATAGGTTGAGACAAAGAGTTTTAAAATGTAAGCAAGAATTGATATTTTTAGATTTTATTCTGAACTCTTGTGGTGAACTGTATCATGTCATTTTTTTTTTAATCTTTAGTGATAATTAAATAAAAAATAAAAACAACTTTTTATCATTTTACGAAAAACATTTTATCTTGATAGTTAACAAAACTATTATACGTGACGCCTTATGTAAAAGAGGCAAATAATAATAAAATGATTAAACACAAATTTAAGTAACTAGTTAATATAATTTAGTTAAACAAATGGGGAAACAAACACTGTACAGGTGTTCTACTATGTTTTGACATTTTGAATAATTTTTGAAATCACGTGTATTTGTGATACTTTTTTAAAAAAATTTATTGTAGTTTTGGACTATGTCAAAAACTTATTTTATATTATTTATCTCTAATATCAAAAAATTAAACATTTTTTTGTTTTCTCATAATAGCTATTTTTTAGCTCTTTTTACAAATAATTTTAATGGGTTGATGACAACTTCAGAATATGTACTAATTAAGTTACAAGCTTTTAATAAATAACTATTCTATGTATTCAAACCTTATACATCCATAATATAAACAATTTTAATATATTTTTCATTAAAATGAAATATTTCATATTTTAAAACCTTGAAGAAGCCAATATCTTTTGTCGAATATTTTTTAATTAAAAATTACAACTATAAATTTTTAACGTATTAATAAAACTGAAAACGTTTTCCTACTACATACATTTATATCATTGTATCCCCATAATCTGTAATTTAAATTATGTATTCAAGCTGAACTAATTATTTTTTATCAATCCATTACGAGCATTTTATCATTTGAGTATTTAAATTTGAATGTGTTACTTAATTATATACTTTATAATGAAGCTATAGCATTTGAAAAATCACAATCAAGAGATCAAGAGTCAATAAAACAATATTATTAAATACTTCCGTCTATTACTATTTTCTTATTAGTTAAAAACAGTATTTATTAAATTAAATTTACTTTTTTTAAATTATTTAAGTGAAAAATAATTAATATTTTTTTGTTAAAATATTTAAAAAACTTATCTTACATTACATTATTTTGGGTAAAAATGATTTTAAATGACCAAGTCGCATTAGTTACTGGGGCTGCTTCTGGAATTGGATACGAATATGTTAAGCACTTATTAGTCAATGGTGTAAAGGTAGGAAATTAATTATTTTATTATTAATAATAGTTCATCAAAAATAATTTTTTTATACTAATATTGGTAGTTATGATCATGCAAATATTTTATATTCTTTATTTTTGTTTTAAGATTATCTCGATAAGTTCTATGAAAACATAAGCTTCATTAAGCTGGGAGCTTTCGTAAACTTCTGTAAGCTTCCATAAAGTGATGGAAAAATATATTGAATTATTATTATTTTTTTTAATCAATATTGTTTAAAGAAAACTTTAAAAAATGTGAGCATGACAAAATTCAGCCACCTCACGCCAAAAACTTAAATATGGGCCTAATTATTACGGTTAAACAATTAATATCAATAGCTAAATTTTAATGTTTATTTTAAAATTATATTACTTCTAAAAAAGGTTTTTGTGTTTTCTAGTTATAGTGCTAAATTATTGACTATTTGTTTTATAATTGTTATACATCATTATGATTATACATTATGATAATTAAACAAGTTAGAATTATTATTATTACAGGTTGCAGCATGTGATTTAAATTTTCTAACATGTCAAAAAGTGGTTGATGAATTTGCATCTGATTATGGTTACAAAAACATTATTCCTGTAGAATGCGATGTTACTAACAATGATAACTTTGAAAGTAATTTACATAATTTTCACTATTTACTAGCTCTGTGTCAATTTTTTTAAGGTGAGAAATCTCGATTAGAATTATTAATTGAATTCAAAATTTGAATAGTTCGTTACATCAACACTAATTATCAGACAAATTACACTAGAAATTTTTTTTTAATAGTTCATCTATATATCAGTTAATTATTAGTATAGATTTAAACATTGTATTTTTAAAATTTTAAAATAATTTTAATTAATAATAATTTATAAAAACTTTATATTATCTAAGTATTAAGATAAAAATTTAACATTTTAAATAGTTTTATTTTGTATCTTTTGTTACTTTTAGCAATTAAAGTTTTTTTTGGACAATAACTTAATAATTTTTTTGGAAAATACATTTTTTTAAGTCGTTTTTTGAAGATTTTTTAATTAAAAAAAATAATAACATTTTAAGAAATTATTCTATTTTGATTATATTCTGAATATTATATATTATATATTATTATTATATAATATTATATATTCATACTATACATTTATACATATTATGTATAAAGATTCATTGTATTATTATTTAGTTATTTGATGTTTATATTACTGTTTGGTAAATTTGGATTATTTTTGTTGTACTGGTGTCTCATATTTAACTGATAATGCCTAAAATTATTGATTCAATGATCAAATCGTTGAATTTATTTATTTTAATAATTGTTTCTTGTATAGTCTGCTCAATTTATAATTTTTTATTATTAGTACTTAATCAGAAAAAAAAATTGTTTTTCAAATTTTTCAAATTTTTGAAATATTGTATGCTACAGTGTTTAAAACCCTGGATATTTAATTATTATTAAATAAACAAATCAATAATTAATAATAAAAAAAATTAGGAGATTTTCTATTAATATTACGAATACGAATTTATATTGCGTGTTCCTTAAATACATCCATATTGATAGAAAGAGTAAAGATTAATTATAACAATATTATCAGAGTAGTCTAGCATTCTTAAAGTTATTTCTATGTATAATTATTTTGTTTACCTAAATAGTGTAAATTGCAGCACATTGTTAAATAAAATTATGAACATTTGTGCCCTTATATTCCGCACCATCTAATAAAAAGTTAATTATTTTTAGATGCTTTTAAGACATGTATTCAACATTTTGGAAAATTGAATATTGTAGTCAATAATGCTGGTGTATTAGATAATTCATTGGATGGCTGGGAGAAAACCATTACTATCAACTATGTAAGCTTGTTGCTGTAAACTATGTTAAACACTTATAAAATCACAAAGAACTTAACAATATTAGCTTATAAAATTAAAATGTTTGTAGGTTTTTACTTCATTGTTTATTACTAGATTACTTACTATTACGTACTTACTAGATTATAATAATACCTTTATAAAAATACAATTGAACCCAGGGGCCTATCCACCTTTTTAGTATCCATAATCTGAATTATTTTATTTTTTATCGCTTAGTAAGTAACAGTATTTTTTCATAACTCTAAACTGAAATTTTTTATTTCAAGTTTCTCAATTATATTTATAAATATTAAATTGACAAAAAAACTCCTAAAAAAAGAAGTAATTATCTATTTTTTTTATTAGTTTAAAGTTTATTGTAAACTAAATACGTTAATTTAAGTGTGGAGTTGTGAGAGGAACAATGCTTGCTATCAAATACATGAGTCAAAGAAATGGCGGTATTGGAGGAATAGTGGTTCAAACAGCTTCAATAACAGCTTTGGGAGACCCTGTATTTTTTTTCCCAGTTTACAGCTCTTCTAAAAGAGCTGTTGTGGAATTCACAAGATGTATTGGGGTAAAGTATATTATATTTTATAAAAATTATTGTCGAAATCAACTAATTATCAAGTAAAGGAAATTAATACATAATGTTACAGTTGTATTTATTTGTGATAATATTTTTATTAATTACAATGCAGGATAAACGAAATTTTGATATACATGGAATTAGAATGATGTCAATTTGTCCTGGTTACACTAAAACAATGCTGACCAAAAATATTGATAGACATCTTTTTTGGCATGAAGAAAGTTCAAACCATTTTAATCAAGTCCTTCCTGAGATACAATTTCAAGAGTAAGGGTTTATATACACAGTGATTTTTGTAATTATGGTCATAAATTTAAAAGAATCATCGAGTAGAATTTTTCTAAGTGTATGTAATTTGATAAATTTTCTTTAATGGTTTATGCATCGATTCCATTAAAGACTAAATACTTAACTCAGTTTCGTCGAGTTGAATTAGAGGATTTTGAAAAATATGTAAACAATAAGAAAAAAGTAAACAAAACCGTCTAGTTCTATATTACTAATAGATCAAAATTGTGCTCTATTAGTACAGTTAAACTACACTCGTCACATTTTAAACTATAAATTAATTCTAAAATGATATGGAATAATATTGATTTTTTTTTACATAATTAGGGCAGACCACGTTGGAAAATCATTGATAGATATTTTACATCAAGGTAAAACAGGAGAATCGTGGATTGTTGAAAACGGAAAACCACCAAAATTGGTAATAAATTATTAAAATATGTTTTAATAAACTTTTAAAAATATAATAACTTTGTTTTTGTGAAATTAAAATAATTTTTGAAACACAGAACACTCAAGTTTTATTAATGGATTATATTTAAATTTAATTAATCAATATATTCGGCATATTTAAACTAATATATATTTTTTTAAATAAAATTTTAGTTTTGAATCAAATAAAAAAAAATTATAAAAAATTCTCAGTCTTAAGTTTTTATTTCATCCTTTCACTACTAGTATTATTATAATTAATTTATATTAAACTCATTTTTTTCTTTAAACTTTTTTAATTGTATGTTCCAAATTTAAAAACAAATAAGTAAACAAAAAGAGATTTCTATTGCTCGGAGAAATCGTTTTTTGTAAACTATGAAAGAAATATTATACGGAGCTATTAATAAACAAAATAGTTCATCTTTTAGCTTCGATGTGAAGCTGAGAAAGTATTAATTTTTTTGATAAATAGTTTAGATTAATACAAATTTTTAAATATTTTGAAAATATCAAAAGAAACAAACGTTCCTTTCTATTTATATCTGAACAAATTTATACTTTTGAGGGTTTATGTATGTTTGAATCATTTAGTTTTTAGAGTTTTACATTTAAAAATTGTGTAAATTTTATACATTTACATAAAATTGTATTCCTAGTTTTTCTTAATAAAACCAAGTAATTATACTGAAGCATAATTAAACTCTTTTAATTTGTAGATACTCAATTTTTTCTTATATAATTCCAGCTAAACAAAAATTTTTTGCTAAATATTTCTTAAAAAAAAAAAAAAAACTCGATTGCTATAAAAAAAGGTTTTAGAGACCTATTTGTAAAAAATGGTTTCATAAAATAGCAATGGTCTTAGATGGATCATAAAATATTATTAGTTAAAGTTATTTTCAAATTGATAAAATATTTTATTAAAATATCAACTACAAGAAGATTTGTCTGTTAATTGTTTGGTGTATAACGATTACAACTAACATTTTCTTGTAACGATGCAAATAAAAATGTATGAATTTTGGCCATCGTGACTATCTTTTAACGTTGGTCACTCCAATATTTTAGCGTCAATTAACATAACTTGTGTTTGTACAATGAATTAGTTGTTTTATGAAAATTTTAAAATTATAAATGTATGTTCTCATTAATCAATGTCTTGTAGAATAATAGCGTAGAATTTAGTATTCTGTTAAAAAATTATTTACATTGATATGATTTAAGATTATTTATGATATTTTGAAACTACTTATCAGTGTGACTTTTGCCTATCGTGAAGTTGATTATCTTATGAATGCCGTGGGCGAAGGAAAGTGTAGATTTTATGGTTACTATAAGTTACTATACGACAGCGACGAGCTCTGTTGCGGTTGTTGTTTATCGACTCCTTCCACAGACCACTGTAAACGCTTGAACGTCAATCACGTACGTTTTTATGAAAAAACTCGTCGTTTCTAATTTTTTTACTAGAAGTACATTATAGAGAAGTTTTAGTGAAGTTACTTTTAAGAGCTAAGAATAATTTGATTGGTTTGATTCTTCGAAGTACAACGTCTCATTTGGTAAGGTGATAAATATGTAAGAGAATTTAAATGAAATATGCTAGCGCAGGTCAAGTTGTTTTGAATATTATTGTATATAAATATAATAAAAAATATTTTAAAAGTGGATTTTTTAAAATTATGCTTCAAATAGTATGTTATAATGATAATATAAACATGGTAAGTTGTAACAGTAAACGAAGGATATATTGTTATTTATAATTATATTTGAATTCATAACAGTGTAAAAATACCAATTAAGTATATACATAATTAAGTAATAATACAAAATCATGTTTAAATTTGTTATTAAATGTGATTCATTGTTTTAAAGATAATATATCATAGTACTTTCATATTGCAATACTTTTTCGTTGTTTACTTTTTTACTAATTTTATTATTTCCATGAAAAATTATTCTTATATTCACAACCAACAAAATATCATATGTGAGTGGACTTAATCCAAAAAAAATCTGCAAATCTGGATAGTGGCCAGTTCACATGAAAATATGTATTGAAAAGAAAAAATGAAAATGCATAGTCTATATGATAAATTCCGTCCAACGATTTCTATTTTTAGTTTCCTCCTCATGACCTAATTTCATGAGAAGAATGACTATCTTTTTTTAAAGTTTTATCAGTCATTATTTTTGCTATTTGTCACACGTGCTTATGCTGGAAACTTTTGCTTTTTGTCAATTTATTAAACAAGATTTTTTGTAAACGTGTTCTCTATCAATAAAAAATATTTAACTGGTTTACAACTATTCGTTTTATGAGTATTGTTGATACTAATTTTAGGAAATTCATGTACCTATGAGTTAAAGTTTCATATATGAGAACGCCTGTGATTATTTAATTTAAATTGAATTTCAAGTTTGCAATTATCTAGAATTAATATATGCATATTTGATACATATGAGAAGTTAAACAAAATTATTTCATTTAAATATTTTAAATTGGAATAATTACATTAGCCTTATCACGTTTTAGATTCACAAAGAGTTATTAACAAAAAGTTAAAAGAAATGAAATATAATATTACTTGCATAATATCATTAATATATTATTTTTTTAACTTTCATTTTATCAAAATATCTTAAATATACTGTAGAATAATTAGTTCAAAAAAAAATTATTTTATTTTTTATAAATAATAGTTTACTAGAATGATATTAATTTAACTTTAATGTAAAAAGACAAAGTTAACTTATTACGCTAATAGAAAGTATTAGGAACCCACTTTTAATTAACGTAAAAGTTGAAACTAAAATTAATTTAAATTACAAATGTTATAATTTATCTAAAAGGTTGAAAAATAATAAGAAAAAATTATCAATTTAATATATTTTTGAATATTTATTTTATTTTTAAGTAAAAATATGTAAATTTTTAAGTAATATATATGTTTTTTATTACAATAAAAAACTGTGAAGTCACAAGCGTTTGGTTTTAAAAAGTATTAATTTCCAATAATGAACATTTGTATGAGGTTAAATGACTAATTTTTAAAATAAAATTTATTAAGTAACGCATAAAATAATTGAAAATTTTACATTATGGTCACAAGTATGAATATTCGAAAAATGGTGTATGTCACTTTATTAATGGTAATTTGATTTATGATAACTAAATCAATTTGTTTATTGTTGTTTAAGAATTAGGCCAACGCAATGTGCATTATTTTCAATGTCAATTCTTATTTTTATTTTACCTACTCCTACTGTGTTTACAATGTATTCTTACCATATGAGTGTAGTTTATCGTTGAAAAAATCATTTATGATGCCGTCATCATATTTGAGGTTACTGCTACCGACACCCAATTGTTACAATATGTATTGGATCAAAGAATAGGTACCGCATGCAATAATGAACCGGGGTCACCGCATATTTATTGTTTTAAAAAGAAAAAACTGAATAATATAAAAATCAATTACTATTGTTTGTATCATCGACTATGTGGTTATAAAATAGTATTCATCTAAATATACAAATAGATTTTTTAATGACATTCACCGCAAATAAACACTAGATTAAACACTTGAAAATAAATGACTCACCAAACACAAAATTTAATTGTAATACAATTCACTTGACTTATTAATACAAATGAAAAATCTATTTGATTAAATAGATTTGTTCAAAAAAACTTAGCTTTCAAGCATTTAAAAAATGACATCATTAGATTACTGATTAATATTACTGTATATATATTTACAATGAACATTATTAAAAATTATTATTTATAAAAAAAATATTTTGGTATAATGAATTTGATCGATTGATACCTGTATTCAGTGGCGCAACTATTAAAACTTAATGAAATAGTAACGCAGAGAAATTTTTTTATGAACAATAAAATAAAGGTGATTAAATATTTAAAAATGCATTATTTGTCTGTGGTTATATTAAATAAACAATCAAAACAAAAAATATTCATAACAAATGTCTAGTTAATTGTCATTTTAATTTATAATTAATATTTTTAGCAATAATAGAATGTCTCACACTGTGACAGTTACAAGAACTACAACGTCTACGACATCGGCAATTATTTTGAATACTGGTTATGTAAAATCTGCACCTGGCCTTTTAAAATTGATCGAAGTTGTACGTATATCATTTTAATTATTTTTAGGTGTTTGAGATACAATTATAATTGCAATTTTTTTATATTATAAAATAATAAAACAAAAAAGTGTAATGAGTTTTTTTTTTGTAATTTATTACATTGAAATTTCTCTAAAATGAAATACATTTGTGAAGAAAATCACTATGAGTTTTATAATATAAAGTTACTAAAAAACGGAAAAGCTTTTTGGCTACGGTTAATCATTTTTATTTGCGTACAAATCGATTACATGTTAGCAATAAACAATTGATCTTATTTGTTGACAAGATAGTAGTGAAAATAAAAATTCTAATATAACTGAGCCATTTTTTGTAATAAATTATATTCTAAACGATAATATATTTAATATCATGGGAAAACAATATTGATGTTTAATAATTTTAAATGTCTCAATGTTTAAGAATTACATACATTAAGGCTTTGTATTGAAAACAAACTATAGAAAGTTTTTTTTTCTTTTCTAGTGCAGTGATTAATAAACTGCCGTATATCATGTCCTCTATAAATACTATCTGACGTCATTAAAAGATATATTAATCCTAAAGCACAATATACACTCCTCGGTAAAGCAACTATTATGACTGACTGTCACGAAAAATGTGTTCGTTTTGTAGCCATATTTAGGGGGTTTGCAAGTGCTAATGTTTAGTATGACTACACATGGTCTCAATTTTATGTGTCAATAGACTTTACATCTTATAAATAATTTATAATAATAGACATATGAAACTTGCATACGAATCATTATCCAAACAATGAAACATATTTACGTAAGTCATGTTACATAATACTTGTTTGATTTAATATTAAACAGAGAGAACTGAAAATAGATGTTAAAATAATAATTTGTAAAGTAAAGTTTAAAATTACACACAGATTCTACTGTTCCTTGATTTCAATTTTAATTTAAACTAAATTATTTTAAAAAGTTCTACTAGTAATTTTCTGAATGAAATTTAATCATCACTATCTTTTATTTTTGAAGATCGATTGACTATATTTTGAGAAATAAATTGACACAAAAGTATAGATTATTAGGTATAATTATTATTACGCGTTATTTTCAGGTCATATTTATATCCGTGACTAATATATGAAATGATTTTTATGATACATTATGATCCTTCTATTAGTCGAAGTATTTTGATGAGATCATAAATTATTCAAAAACTAAATTATCTCTGTAACTAGTGGAACCAGACTTTAAGTGTACTATTTCATTCACCTACTCATAGTAGATAACCAAAAAAATGAAAACTATAATGTAACAGTCGAAATAACTTTTAAGGTATAATAATAGACTCGCGAATACTGATTTCTAAATGGCGATACAAGCACTAAGACATTTTACCAATATAATTTAGATTTCAATTGTTGTTTAAAGTAATACCTAAGATAAAAGTATACTTTAACAATATAATTATTATTTAATTCTATGAAAAGTATAATAAATTCACTTTTTTTTTAATTTTATAATATTATGTTTATACCAGCTATTCAAAGTTTAGGTGACATTTTCTTTCAGTCCAGATTCTCAAATGTAAAATTTAAAAAATTACATTCGCTTAACTATTTTAGCTTATTAAGATAATGATTACTCTTTTTAAAAGTTGAATTATTTACTTTATAAAGAAATAGTCTTATAATGAATTGTTGCATTCATATCATCTATCAATGTTTTATTTTTAATATTGAAATTTCAAAAAGTTATATTTAATAAAAACTAGAACAAAACATGTCCATTTTATGTACATAAATGAAATGTTTTATTGGAAAGACACGATCGATATTGTTTCTGAAAACGCTGTGGCGCCAACTCCCTCTTCGTAGCCTTAACAGTAGTTTATATTACAACTGTTGTATAATAGCAATTAATTATACTAAAAACTACATTTTAATCTTTCTTAGGTAAATTACTAAGAATATTCAAACCTATCAAGGTGGATGTTTGATTTATCGTCGACCATTAGATTTCACCTAAAATAATAATAATTTTGAAAAAAACATTTCTTGATTCGTTTATTTATTTCAACATTTATAAGTGGTTAAATAATTTTTAGACCTAACTCGTTATCCCTCTTAAGAGTATTAATTATATTATTTTTAATGAAAATTTACATATTTACATATAATGTTAGATAATGATTTCACTAAGAAAATTTAATAGATGATATAATTAAGAAAATGACTGGTCGATAATAACTTTTGAGGCAGTACTTCGGAAGTTATTAACATTATAAAATGTAGACTAAAAGTAAAGTTTGGGTAATGTTATTTTTATTATCATTATGCATTTCTCTATCGTGCAACTCCTCCCACCTATAGGTATAAAAAAAAAAATAAACCGTAAAATAACGTTCATTTTCAAAAGTTTTATGATTTTCTATTATATGATCTAATTATACATGCAAGTTGCTATTTAAAAAAAATAAGTCCGGTACCCACATATGGGACAAGGGAAAAGACCCAAACAGTATTATTCACTTAAAAATCGAGTTATAAATACCAGTTAAAAAGCCAAAAAAAAAATTCACAAAATAGTGTTTAACAATAAACACGTTTATTTATTTGTAATTGTAGTCAATGGCGTATCTAAGGGTAAGCCGTAGCCTAGGATGTCATTTTTTTGTGACTACATTTTTTTAAGAGGTGGCTCTTTTTGGTATTATGATTTTAAAATTATTATTATGTATATTTAAACACCTTTTGTACAAGGTTTTCCAAGTATATATAATAATTTAAAAAAACTTTTTCTTTATTTATATACGAATAAGGAAAATTACTATATGTAAAATTAAAATAAAAAATCGTCTTAATAAAATTATAATTATCTAAGAATATTAGTCATTTATAATGTAATAAATATTAATCAGTAATAATAGTGAACATATACAAAATACTAGATACTAAGTATTTGGGGAGGAGGGGGGGCATAATAGTTTAGTCTAGGGGTTATAGCCATATAGCTTAATACGCCACTGAGTGTAGTGTTGCAGATTGATTATTTTCCCTTTAATCATTTATAATTAACTGTTTACAAATAATTTTTTTTGAAGTATTGCTTGTTCCATTTTTAGGGTTCTAATCTATAGCGCGCCAAGAGAATTGCTGTGGTGGGAGAGGTGTTATAAAAAAAACAATTTTCGGGAAAGTTCAATATAACTGATAGATTTTGATTTTAACATACCAAACACACAATAATCCCTCATCTAAAAAAACGGGTGTTTTTGAGTTGTATATAACTTACTAATATCTAATTATAATATTTGTTTGATTTCAGATTCTCGGAGGAATTATCTTATTTATGCTTTTTATTAAAAGAAATGAATTATGCAGATGTTGGATCTTTGACTACAATACTCCATACTTTTTTTTCTCTTCTATAGTTGCTACATTTTGCATAACAAGTCTAATATTGTTGATTTCATGTTTACTATCTATTTCAACTGGACCTATTATATCAAAAACAAACTTTGTAAGTTTTGTCTTTTAAAAGGGTATTTATACACCAGATTAATGATTCTACTAAAGAAAAAATTGATAGTACTATAGCTATTCTTACTATACATGTTGGATCAAATCTAACTGGCTTTTATAACTTTTATAATTTTTAATGTAGTCTAAGAATGGAAAATTATTTTTTTTTAAATTACAGTGAAATTTTAATTTTATCTTTAAAAGTTGTTTGTTATATATTATCCATTCTGTTTAAACTAAATTTAAACTTAATATAATACTTATATATTTAAAATTCAACTAAACTCAATAAATTAATATAATATAAAAATCAAAAATGTTATTAATGTCTTTTTATTTTTATAGGAATTCATTTATCATGGAACTGGATTTGTACTTCTATTGATTGTAGCTATATATTTATTTGCTGAACAAAATGAAAAAAAGATTGAAAATCTTTTCCTTTCATCATCAGTAAGAACATTTTTATTTTTAGATTATATATATATGTATTAATTGAAATTTATATTTAATTCAAGATGATATTCTGCTAAACAATTTTTAAGATTAAATCTATAATTTATATAATATTTAATAGATTAAGGGTTTATTTTTGTATGTTTTACGATACATACACAATTCGTATTTATTAGAGAATATTTAGAATCATAAATATTAGATCGCACCTGCTATACAACTCATTTTTAAGGACAATTTAGTATGAGAGAGAAAAAACGTAGTTTATGTAATATGGCTTTTCTTCCTCTAAATCATACGTCTACTAGTTTACGGGACATTTGTACTGGGGCCACTTAAAAAAAGCCTCGATAACAGATAAACAAACTATTTATCATAATTTGTGAAAAATAAAATTTTATTGATAGCGAATGACTTTTTTTCCTTGATTCTTGATTCATACCCATTAACTTAAACATTTATAACAGTTATATTTATCAGGTTCTTAAAGAAAAAAATGCGAAAATGTAAAAAATAATCTGATCATATTTTGCGATGTTACAATCCCGATTTTTGGGTTTTAATTGAACCCGAACCGAACTTTCAATTTTTAAATCGAAATAGAACCGAACGATCATCAATTTTAATCATTTTAAGGCAAAATATTTTTTTATATTATTATTTAATAAATTCAGCATGATATTTAATTATACTAGTTTGATATTTAAATAGTTTTACATGGAAAATTTCGGTTCGATTTTTTTAAAATTTGAAGTTCAAAAAATACATAGTTTTAATAAAATAAATTTAATGAAAAATATTTTATTTTTAGATTATAGCGATGATTATGTCTGCACTGTATTTATTAAGCGCAATTTGGGGATACCGATCATACAAAGGCCCATAATACATTTTTTATGACAAAAATGATTGAATAATCATTCACAATATAGCAATGAAAAATCAACTCGCACTTTGCTGCCACATATTGTAGCTTAATATAATTAAAAATAATTGCTAAAAATTTTATTTTTTGAAATTTCAAATCTTAATTATATTTTAAAACGTTCCTCTTCTGTGCGATGAAATTGAAGTATTAACATATTCGGTTAAGTTAATAAATAATCTTTTCTTAATGATTTTTTAATATTATTTACGTATTTATATAATTATTTAATGTTATATTGTTTGTATTTATTTGTTGTCTTCTTGATACTATCATGTTGTAAGGAATTTATGTCTTCGATCATATATACTGGATTGATAAATAGCATAATAGAATAGTATAATATCAGCAAATGTAATGCAAAAATAAGCCATAGTATTTTTTAATACTAATTGAATAGTTAATAAGTCATAAATTTTTTTTTTATATTTCAATTAAATATAAACTTTTAATTGGCGTCTCCATCAGCATAGATTCTCATATATATTCTAGGTATCCTATGCACATATTATCCAATGTATATGATCTAAGGTTTTAAATTTTTACCTGGTTTTGCGTACCAAATTATTTTTGCATTTGAATATATTAATATTCACAATTATATTCTTTAAGTGATTTCGCTGTGCCTTGAGATTTCTAAATTAATATTGTATTTAATTTTTAGAAATATATTTTGTATAAGAGTTAAGAATCATATATGTGAGCTTTACTTTTGTACTGATTGTACAACGTAAAATAAATAAAAAATGTTGATAATTTATTTGTGAGAGCTTAACACAACTATAACAAGCTTTAGTTTTTTAAATGATTGAAGTTAAATAATTATTAATTAAGTTTAAGTAATTGTTTTATTTATCATTTATGTGTGTTGTCTTTTTACATTTGTTCAGATGTAACGCATTTAATATATTATAATTTCAATTTCAGTCGCATTTATTTTTAAGTATAAACATTTATTAAAATAGAGTAAAATATTACCTGTGTTCCTTTTATTAATATCTAACCTTATGTTTATATGTTTTAGCTTCGAGAGAGGGTATTAGTGAAAAGATTCTGATTTTCATAAAAAAGCTATTCATTTCGCCGTAATTAAACAATTTTTACTTTTTTATACTATGTAAAAAGTATATTTTTTTAAATTTATTTTTAATATATATATAAAAAAAAAAAAAAACAATGAATTTATTTTAATTTTTCAATAAAGCCGTTTTTTATAATATAACATAGTAAAAGCAATATAATTTAATGGGTTAACAACAATTTTTGAACGAGTTCCTATTAAATTACAAGCATTTTAATACACAGAATGGATATAGCTCGCACTGATGTATATTATATAAGAATTGATCACTCGTGGCCAATATTATTTAAAATTGTGTGGTGTTCATTTATAACGCACACTACATACCCATTTGTATTAAAATTGTAATTTAATAAGTCTTTGTCCTAAAATTGTTAACGGTCCATTTAAAATTTTGTATGAAAAGTGCTAAACTGGCTACTTTTAAATATTTAAGATCAAATGGGATACTTGTTTTTAATACATAAACAAAAATTTTTATTTTAAAAACTAGAGTACATAACACCAATAATATAGTTGGCAGAGTAAGATGACAAGGTTTATATCATGAATTTTTTCAATTGTCTTTTATTTTTCAAGGGGTGAAATATATATTATCCTAAAATTTTTCGTTATTCATTGTTTGTATTCATCATTTTCGTTCAATATATCAATCATAAAAACAATTTTATGTTCATCCCTTATAAGGGTATCAACTTTAATTTATCAAATAACGAACACACATAATTAACTAGTTGATTAAATAGATAATGATCTAATTAAGAAAACGATTGGCCTATAACAGTTTTTGATCAGTGATTCAGAAGTTATTAATATTTTAAAATGTAGACTGGAAGCAAATATCCGGTAATGTTACTTTTATTATTATTATGCATTTCCGTCATACTACCTAGTCATTAGCATGTTAATAACTTCTAAAATACTGGTGACTTGTGTGTTGCTATCTGAAGAAAAGTTGACACCCTTATAAGGTATAAGAATGAGCATAAAATTTTTTTTATAATTGATATGTTAAGATAAATATTGAACTAAAAGAAACCAATAAAAAAATTATTAACATTATTTTGATAAATCAAAAGGTATATGATAAGTGAATCATGATGTTGTTATTTAAAAGCTAGATGTTATTATGTATCTTCTATTTTTTGTTCTTAGTTCAAAAATGTTTCCAAATATTTACTATAAAGTAACAATATCGACTATAAAATATAATTGAATTGATTTTGTAGTAGTTCTTATATAATGTATATAATATTATATTTTAATCATTTATTATGTGGTATATGATATATTATACCAAATTAATTTTTATATTACCTTAAAACATAGTCATTACTACAAATTAAATTATCTAATTTAACTTAAATTATTGAACACTTATTCACATTAATAGGTTATCTAGAATTTAGAAATCAGTTATTTTAAATAACTCAAATTTTTCAACACTTATTACACTCATATTCTTAAAAAAAAAAAATGTATACAAAACAGCATCGTTTTAATAGAACGTTATAATTTTTTTTTCCATAACACTTAGCAAAACTACAAAATTTAATGAAAATACAGGATTACTTCTTCAATCATAAATATCTTCTCGATCACACACATATTGAACAATATCCTTAGGTCTATGCAACTTTTCAGCATCTTCATCCGGTATTTCAAAGCCTATACATTAATTTACAATGATAAGAATTTTTGCTAAATATGAGTAAAAATAAAACATTAGTACCAAATTCATCTTCTATAGCCATAATAACTTCAACATGATCAAGAGAATCTAAACCAAGATCATTTATAAAATGTGATTCTAGACTCAGCTAAAAAAAAAAAGAGAAAAAAATTAGCACATAATAATAAACTTTATAACATATTAATTTCAATTAAAACTAAATATGACACTATTTTTCCATTACTTTATCATTATAATTTATACATTAACTAAGTATAGTTTTTGATTAAAATGGTCTAACTTAAAACATACAATTTTTTTATTAATATTATTATCGAAAATTTATAACTAAATATTTATGCCTAATTTTGATTTTTAATGAAAATTAGTTTTAACCTTTAAGGAAAATATGTAACAAAAAGTAATATAAATTAAAATACATAAAGAAAAATGCTAAAAAAGCTATTAGAAAAAGTATCAAAATTTAAAAAAAGTTTGAATCATAATCCCAAAAAGCCTAAAAATAAATTAATAAGTTTAAAAAATAAAACTGTAGTTAAAAATATAGTTAATTTGTAGTACTAAAGGTTTTTAATTACAAGACGAAGATTATTAAGAATAATCATTGAAAAATATCAACCAATTTTATTTAAATTATTTATACCTTATCTGGATTAACTTTATCATATAATTGTAATACCAATAGTACACGTTTTTTAATTTGTTCAATAGTCATTGGTGGCTTGACGCTGTACCTCTGGATACTTGTCTGAAATAGAAAATAAATTGAATATTACATACCTTGTCTGCTGTAACTTTATCGTACGCTTTGCACACTTTTAGAACTCTAGATTCTACTTCAGTCAATAACAATTTATTGGAAGTTGTACTGTTTGAATACCATTGACCAAATACCTTAAAACCATAAATTTTTTTAACTTCCCTCTTTCAACCACTATACATATCTTCTCTTTTAAGTTCAAATATTAATAAAAATTTCACTTACTAAAGGTGTGTTTATCTTTAAGTTAAGGCTGTTAATAGTCACTTGACTAATATGACGTTTTTCTGGAATCATCGAACATCTCCTCAATACCAATAGACTTGAGTTAGAGAATGCATTACGAAATGTCTTCCCTAGAGAAGCCATATTTTTATGTGAGAATAACTTATTATTACTTATTTAATACAATTTAATGAAGAATTTCAATCAGAAATTCTAATAACCGATCAAAGTGCTATCCGGGATAATTATCACAAGGTCGAGATTCCTAAATTATTACACCGAAAACGAAACATATGATTTTTTTAGGTTATGCTTGTAAAGTACTTGGGTATTTTGATAACGCCATTGCACGATAAAGATTTTAATAAACTAAAAAATAATTTAGTAATCAATTATTTTCTTTTTTTTTATCTAAATTTCGTTTTTAATTAATAGTTTATTTATATGAGTATTCAAATGTTTGAATTTATTTATCTTTGTTAAGAGAAACAATTTGTTTTTTTACAATTTTTGGGTTAGATAATTATTTTTAATTTATCAAATTAGTAATTTTTACATATAAGACAAATAAATATTATATTAATAAAGTTAACATATATTACAAGTCAATTTTGAAAGGCGATCTTTATATGTATAAAAAAAACTTATAAATAAAAATAAATTTACCTCTTCAAAGGGCGCTGCTGTACAATTAACAAATTAGTTTATGAAATAAATGGTAATTAGTAATTAAAAATATGTACATAATATGGACATATATTTTTTGAATGGGACGTGAGATTATTTCAAATTTGACGCTTTAAGACCATTAAACAAAATATTTATACGTTTCCTTTTTAAACTAATAATATTCGGTAGGTTCGTTCGTTAAACGTTCAAGATTTTTCGTCTTTATTCATTATTATGAAGACATAGCGTTCTATAAAGATGAAATATATTTTACATAAAATTATAACGACTCTAACGTTTAGTATATAACGTGTTTGGGTATCCGAAATTAGGTAATTTATTTATTGATATTCAATAAAGATCCTCTACTTATATTATTAGATAATGTTATATAGAAACATAAATTAAAATATAGTCCTCATAATAATAACTGTAGTTCCCAAATGTAATCATAATAGAATAATTTAAACGTCTGTACGCATTTTTATTCATATTTGATGAAAATAATGACATTTTTAGTGGGAATATTGGTCCTAGGCCAAAAGAAATTTAGGGTGGTCTCTACCCTGTCTCTATTCTCGGATCGTAAGTATACCACGATAAATATTTACAAAGTTCTTTACTATTAAACTAGAAGTTAATTCAGAATAAAATCATCAGTGAGTGAATTCCAAAAAGCTATGGAAATGTCCACAGCAAGATATTGGTATTGGTGTATTTCAAAATGACATAATAGTGGTGGGTATACAATTCAGGAACACAACATATAATTAGGTAAATTATTAAATGTTTTACATAACTGCGATTTGGGAGTAAAGCTAAAGAAATGAAAGTTTTTACAAAAATCAATGGATTATCTTGGTCATAGAATAGATGAAAAAGGTTTACACGCGTTAATCATTTTTAGATTTAGTAACGTATTACATGAAGTGTATTCCAAACGTAACTGAAATATTAAAACCATTTTACACACTTTTACGTAATGACATTAAATGGCACTAATTATCAAATTGTGATAATTCATATAAAAAAATTAAACAAATTCTTATTTCAAGGGCCACATTAGCATACTATAATCAAAAAAATACCACTTAATAGTAGACAATTCTTCGTTACACAAAATATAGTCTTATCACATGTGTACCCTCATAATTCTGATGCCGAGTGTAAGTTTCCACTAATAGAAAAAGAAAGACTAGCTATAATATTCAGCACTCAAAAATTGTATGATTATCTCTATGCATAAAAATGGTGTTTCAAAATACGCAGCAAATCGTTTACAACGATAGGCATATGTTTTATCCTCATTCTATTTTGACATTAAGTTCATTAATTCGGAAAAAAATAGCTGATTTTCTTTTGAAAGCCAAAATTAATCATTCCAATAGCAAAAACGTGGACGATGACGAAAGCATTTCTTTAATTATTATTTATGAAAAATCACAATTCCCATTAGACTGGTCTAAAATTAAAATTAAAATAAATAGAGATCAAACTACGAGTCCTAAACGCGACAAAAATAGTTGAAAGGAGTGACGATCGTGACGATTTTAGCTCATTGTACAAGATCGATCTTGTACAATGAGCTAAAATTGTATGTCACCCGTAAAAATGAAATATCTTAAGAGATATTTAGAGATGTTTATTGTGAGGCATCGTGTGATAATTCTGCAAAATTTTCACCTGTCACTGAAAACATAAGTGACAAAACACAAAGTTATATCAGATCACAGTTTCATATGCACAAGACACGACGTCCAAATTTGGCCACAAAACAAAATTATTGGCTCGTTATCTTCCGTAAGTAAAAATACTGACATAGATAACAGTGATCACACAGATTCAACTGTGTTCACTTAGCAATAATGCTTCAAAAAAATCTCCCCGACCTGTTAGAACTTAAAAAACCTGTTTAGCGTTCTCCAATTAATAATAGTAATAATTATTCAAACAATAACAACAAATCTTACACTGTGTATTACACTTGTAATCTGTTTATATGAATGCATATCTTGTCTTGTTATGAATGATCAATTATAAGCTAAATCTTACTCTCTCATTAACTTGAAACTTTTATTTATACGTTGGTAATTATTAAAAATACAAGTGTATTATAATTTCATAAATAAAGAAGTGTTACGTATTGATAAATACTATACAAATTAGTAGCGGGAATTGTCCACTACTCACGAGTGTGTCACTGGCAGCACACACATTATTAAAATTTATATTGTTTCTCAATAAAGACTTATTTTCTGTATAACTATTTTATGTAGCCTTTCATATTAAAACTCAACATATTCTTAACACTTGTCTTTTTTACTTAAATATTTTAAATGACCAACCGTATCTATTAACCCACTAAATATCTGAATAATCAAACTAATTAAAGAAAAAATTTGTTGAAGTTGGTCATGTCAAATTTTGTCATTTTTAGATCATATATTAAGTGTATTTGAAGTTTTCATTAGGTTGTAGAGAACATTTAACGTAATATTGTTCCTAAAAGTAGAATAGTATTTTTCTAATTTTGATTGAAATTTAAAAATTAGTATCTAGCAACAGATAAAAATATTTTATTTTTTTGATTTCTAAAAAATTACTATTTTTAACTTGACTATCTTATAAAAATCGTCCATTTATTTTGTAAAAAACAATTAAAGTTATGCAATATGTATACGTTATTATTTTTACGGCGTATGTGTTATATGGGATATGTTAATGTAAATTAGTATTCGTCGTTTATCCTTAAAATCCCTTTAAAATAGACTTGAGTGAGTTAAAGAAAGCGTTTTAAAATAAAGACAATATTTACTATTCAGCAATGGTAAAAATTTAATTTGTTAGTAGAAACTTAGAGCTCCTAGTCTAATAGGATGACGTGCAAATAATAGCAGGCAATTATTATCTGTTAATCACAATTATAGGACGTATTAATATTATCTTATAAAACAAAAAAACGGCTCAATTATTTTAGCTTGAAAAACAGTTGATAAAATACTGCTATCACTGATGAGATAAAAGTTTTGTTTTCTGTGCTTCTATTAATTTTTTCTGTTTTCTTGATTCATAACAAGGTGTTGTTTGTCAGAGAGTATCTTTATTAATTATAACGTAATTAGTCAAAGTAAACATGATTGTCAATGAAACATGTAATACGTCATAAAATTGTTTGTTTCGCAGTCCAATACTTTAACCTATGGTTAGTTTGTAATCAAACAAAATGTATAACAGAAATTATACATTATGAAACGTTCAAATTATTAAAATTGTATTAGAATTTTATTCTACTTTAACACCTATAATTTTGTAGTTACAACTCGTTGTAATTTATCAGAATTGTATTTATTTTTATTATTTCTGTTAATAGATCGTCTTAAAATATGAATGTATATAAGTACTCAATATCGAATTTTGCTCTGTCTAATGAGCAGCGAGATTTTTATGAAACAAATGGTTTTTTACTCGTTCAAAAACTAGTTCCAGATTATTTATTGGACAGATGCAAGTAAGTTATATTTTATTTGATACTTGAAAATAAATGTTCATTTAATGTATTTTACGATGTTTCTATTTCTACAATTAATCAAGACCAAAAAGTAGCATCTAGCAAAACTGTTTCACCCAGTTTCCATCATATCTAACTCATTTTTTTATTTGATGTTCTTAATTTATTATAAATGAGTGTCAACTATGTATTTTTAAAACTAACATACTAATATTGTGAAATTTTCCAAATTAAATGTTAATATTTATTATAGTATGAAAAATAAACTTGTTTTTTATTTACTATTTTTGAAATATTTATTATTCTAATTTTTTTTTGGTTTTAGTGAACGTTTTCTTGACTTATGCAATGGAAAAATTTGTCAAAATGGAATAACTTTAATGAAAGATATTTCTCGTATGAACCGAGGTTATAAAGGAGAAAACTTATATGGTAAAGCACAAGATATATTATGGGATGATGAATTCTATGAATATGCCAGGTACCCAAAAGTAAGATTTATTTTAACATTATAGAAATTTCATTTTATTAATAGTATTACTGTAATAAATTGCGTTATTATAATAGATGATAGATATAATTGAAAGTATCATCGGAAGAAATGTTATGGCTATGCACTCAATGTTCATAAATAAACAGCCAGATATTGGTACCAAAAGTTCAAGACATCCCTCACATCAAGTATTAACTTAAAAGTATAATTATTTAAATATATATTTTTTGTTAAATATGTTTATAGGACCTTCATTATTTTCCTTTTCGTCCACCTAATTTAATTGTGGCTTCATGGACTGCTGTGGTGCCAGTTACTAAAGATAATGGCTGCCTTTATATTTTTCCAGGATCCCATACTGGAAAATTGTTTCCTCATTCTTATCCTAATCCAAAAGAAGTAAGTTTAAGTTAAAATAAAACTTTTTGCTTCTTTTGAGTTATGTATTTTTATATCATAAATAAACTCTAAAACAGGATGAGTTTTTGCAAATGTGACAACTTTTATAAAATACAGGACAATCTTCAAATGATCGTTTTGATTATAATCTTTAGTCGAGATAAAAACTAAGATGAGAAATCATAAGTGAACTCTATTTTCAAATTTTAAAAATCATTAATATTTTATATTATATGAATACAATAAATAATTTTGTTTTTAAGTAAGGTTAATCATAAGTCACTCAGTGTTTATAGTGAATAGTAGTATACATAAAATTTTAGTTAAATTATTATTTACACTAAAGATTAATAATAGCCCTATAGGAAACTTCACTCTTTTACTATATAGCTAAACCTGTTTCGGAAAGAGAAATAAAACTCTAGAACCCTACCCCTTCATTTGCCACAGATAGTAGATTATTTTGTGAAAATTCTGTTATCGACTATTTGATCTTTTGACTTTATTTATATGAAATTACAAATTTCAATTTTTTTCTAGGGAGAAATTAATAAAATGTATTATGGAATTCAAAATAAGGAAATAAACAACCAGAAATCAATATTTGTAGAAATGAATAAAGGTGATACTTTGTTTTTCCATCCCTTGTTAGTGCATGGATCTGGAATTAATATCACACAAGTATGTTTTGACTTTGTACTTAAAATTTTTAATTTATACTTTGATAATTAAAAAATGTTATGATGTATCTTTAAATGTAAAGACCTAGTTGTTTTGGTTAAGTAGTTATGATTTCAATAAGTATCCTATTTAGGTGTAAATGGTATAAATTCAAGACTAAAATAAATGACTTGAAACTATAGGAGTTTCCAAAAAATTTAATCATGACATTAATTAATTTCTCCATAATTTTAATTAAAAAAGGATCCAATAGGTACCTGATTAAATTTGAAATTCAATATAATGATAATTCATACCATAATTTTATATTTATAGCATGGTCTTATCTCTTAAATCAAGTGTTGTTACAATATCAGGTAAATTCAAATTTGATATTGATGAATTTAACCAAATATTAAAATTTTTTTGGTTAAATAGTTATATAAAGTGTTCAGTAACTGAAAAAACAAGTTTTTATCGATCTCATTGTTTGTAACAACTTTCATGTTTCCTTACTTAGTTAACACTCTGTATATGACATTGAGTAGCCAAGTATAAATTACTCCAGAAATATTGGCTGAATACACTGAATACACCACAAGTAGTTAGTAGTTACTGAATATTCGGGTCATCTCTAATTATTATAATTATACAGATATATTTGTATAACTATATTCACAATTAAAAATATTTTTGCCCATTGCTTACTTATTACTAATTGTCTAAGGATTTTCGCAAAGCAATTTCGGTTCATTATGCCTCATCTGATTGCCAATACATAAATGTAGCAGGTTCAACGCAAGAAAACATTCAAGATGAAATAATGGATATACTTGCTAAAAGAGGCATAAAAGATGTTGACTTTTCAGTAATTATAAAATTGATTTGTTTTTTAATTCAATAATTATTAATTTGAAATTAATGTTTTTTCAGTTTGTTTGGAAAATACGTTCTCGGTTAATTAGAGGAACTAAAGCAAACCTATAATTTAAGTTAAGTGTTTTGGAGTTTAATTTATTTTTTCATTGACTAATTTTTATATAATTTATATTATTATGAAATTCTTAATAAATATAAACATATCATTAATTTTTTTTGTTAAAATCGTTTTTGTATAAATAATTATTATTGTTATTGTTATTTTTATTGTTTTAACTTGTTATTTTTATACATAATATTAATAAAATTATTTTATTGAACAGAGTGTATTTTTTAAAAAACTTTTTTTACATGTTACTCATTTTTTTATGAACAGAGAATATTTGAAAACTAGGAGTCAGAGCAGAAAATAATATTAAGCTCTTTCAATGTGATTTTGATAATGAATGGCTAAATGAAAAAAAAAAGAAAATATAATAGTTATTAACATTGACTTCTACTAGTAGTAATTTGTTATAGTAATCATTATCATTTTAACTTCAAGTTACTTGTTAATTATATTGTAGTTAAAACGCAAATTATGTATTTGTCTATGTACAATGAAATAGAAACAATAACAGGGCGACAAAGTTAATTTGATCCCTTTAAATAATCTCTTGTTACAAGTTAGTTGTATCTGTTTTAATCTAAATAAACGTGGTAATCTCTTGAAATCATTTAGATGAAAGATAATTAGAGAACTTTGATTAGCTTAGATTTTAATGGTTTAGACACTTTAAGATGCTAAAGAAAAGTAAAGTCTTGAGATTTGGTAAATTTTAATATTAAGTTTGCATACTTATTTAACAATATTTATTTTGTCTAATAAATTAAACCAATAATTTATTTATATGATCAAACGTATTTTTCCATTTTAACTTCTTTCACAACTTTATAATACAGTCATTGCAACGAAGTATTCGTATCACGTTTTTTATACGTGTCTGGAGTTCTACTGATTTACAGCATGAAATTAATACATCCATAAAATGTTTATTGAAGGGTGTAGTAGAAAGAGGAACAATGACTGCTGTAAAATGAATAGGTAGAATATATAGAATTTATGGCGGTTGTATAGAGCAAACTTAGTCAATAATGTCTTTTATGGACATTTCACTTTTTTCTGTATACAGTTTGATGAAAAGAATAGATGTAGCTTCAGAAAAGCTTCTGGAATTAAATAAAAACTACTTTATTGTCAATTAAGTAAGATGTAGTGTTGATAAAGATTACTTCTCTGAGAGATTTATTTTTACCTTTGCGAATGTTCAAATCAAAATTTGGACGTGAAGTAGGAAAGTATTATTTTAACAATAATTTTAATATATTTTTTGAATTCTTTCTTCAGTAATTAAAACCCCAAATTTAGTTTTTGGGTTTCGATACTAGACATTTAATAGCCCTAATTTTTTTTTCTAAAATAATGACCAAAAAAATAATTATCAAAATGTAATATAGGGTTTTTTGCTATAGGCCTATTCTTTCTATGAAGACTCTGCATTATAATGCAAAGCCTTCAGGTATTATAACATCTTTATATAAGGTAATTTGTCCAACAATACTTCAAAATTCACAAATTGTATTTAGTTGGAGACATGACCTTCAATATTAAATAAAAAAATTCTTTGATTTCTTATAAATCCAGTGAAAAAATCAATTGTTTAAATGTGAAAATTTAGATAAAATTTTTTTTACTAATATTCTTATTAAAAAAGTTATTTATGTTGTTAAATGTAAAATAAAAAAAAAAAATACGTTTAGTGTAGAAATGAATTTTACTTAATTGGACATCATAATGGTTGATCGTGGAAGTTGAGGTGCCTGCCCCCTGGACTGCTCTAAAAATTGTAATTTTGAGTCTATTATTAAATGTCTAAACTAGTAAGAGATAAATGTAAATCATTATTGTATTTTTTCTTAACTATTATTTTCCCAGTTAGCGCTTTCATTTGAGTCTAACACAACAATTCAATAATTCCAATTGTGAGAAAATATTTTGTTATAAATAACTATCCATTTATTTTGTGTGCAGAGTAATAAGAAACCATAATTACATAAAATAAAATGTATTACATTATTTTAATTATTCGTTAGATAATCATCTCTAGTTGCAATATAAATCATGTAAATTTAGTTTATAGAGAGAGATTCATCGTCAAATATCAAAATTGCATTAGTATATAAATTATGAAGTTATTACAATTTCTTAAAAAATACAAAGATAATATAATGTAAATTAAAACTAATATTTAATTTTACAATAATAATTATAAATGATGATGTTGCCCCAAAAAGCAGAATTTTTAGAGGGCTACAGCGAGTTCTATACAGTCAGTCTATTAGCTATAATTTACATAAAACTAAAAATGACATTTTTAATTACAGTTTATTTTAATGAAATTTGTCAATCCGATTGCAAAATACTTTTACTGTGTTGTTTGCTATTGAAATTGGCAAGTGCCATTTTAAATTTACGTTTTTTAAACAAAGTTTGTCAGAAAGAAAATGTAATGCTGTTTTGTACACGTTGTACCGTTGAGAATAGACACCACATGTTACTTAAACACGCGCAATATGTAATAATGTAATTACACGCGTATTATGTGTGTAATTCTATTGGGTATGTACTAATTCAAATGTCATGATTAATTTCCATAATTTTTTCCAAATTTGTGCGAACACATTGATTGATTGGATGCACGCTGTCCCGACAAGCCATTGAATTGGACCGAGATTAGAACTACACGAATTAGTAATCACGTCTTATTTGTTCGATCAGTCAAACTTAACTCTCTACGTCAATACATCAACAGACTGTCAAAACGAGTTTAAAAAGCTCTGCACGGTATGAAATGTCTGATACGGGCACACAATGGGAACATACACAATCACCAATAACTGTTATATGTCTTGTCAATTCTAGAATAAGGCTTAAGAGACCACTGCGTGTACGGGCAAATGATGTTGGTTAAATACTTAAGCTGCGGTAGTAATGTGTAAGCAGACGGTTGCGGAGAAGGCCGAGATTTGGCTGCCCAAGGGACTAGCGCAGGAGTCGACGCACGCAAGCGCCGCCGTGAACAAGTCACACTTGTTGTTGGACAACGCTTTCGGTGGCGTGTTGGACGTCTAGTCCACGGGCAACGTCAGTCGTACACCCGGCTATCGGCGACAAATCTCGCGCTGTCTCGAAAAGTCCGTTTCGCGCCACGATTACAACAATACTGCGACGAGTTATTGTGCAACTCGTTTTCTACCGGTTTGCTGCGGACGACTCAATTTCGCGACGGACGCAACGTTTATGCCGAACATCGCCAATGCAGAAAACACCCGAACTCCCATCTAAATCTATAAAAGGTATTCATAAGCGCGTTTAAGTATCGTAATAGTAACACCAGCAGTTATTTATTCATTTATCTGTGGAAATGTTCTAGTGTTAATAATGACATGCGTTTGCACAATAGACGACCGTCGAACGCATTATAGACCATTTCTGGTGTATAAATATAAAAAACCGCCTAAGGCGTAATCGCTTTTGATAGTACTAAAAAAACGACACATTCGTGTAAAACAGCATAAAGCGCGCGCATAGTTATTATTTTTTTTGTCGGGACATCACAGAGGCTCGAATACATGTGCGACTGACAGTTGAAAAGTCGAAGGCGCCCTAAAAATTAGTAGGTGGTAAATTATTTTTAACAAGGGTTTTGTACTCCGAAGATATACTGTCAATGGGATTTTTTAAAGCCGTAGTGAGGGTGGAAACACGTGGATGAAGAAACAATAGCTATTTGAAACGACAGCAATACTGGTTACTGTATTTTGCGAAATAGGAAAAGAATACAAACTGACGCGCAAACAATTATTTACAGAGACGTTATTTGTTTTTCACGCACAACACGACGTTGTGACATTACGTCTCGAGCAAAGTATTAAAAGTTTTGTGCAAATTTGTTACAATAACACGAGTTATGCCGACGGATGTTTAAAAATTACATTAGAACTGTTCGAGTTGGCGCTGATGAAATTGTAGTTTAAACTCAATAAAATCTTACGCATGTTGGCGAATTTACTTGAACGCATTATTAAAACCGCATCCTCTAACTTTAGTATTCAATCAATTAAAGACGCTTTCGAACTATATCGGCGGCGGTTAATGTTTAAATACGAGTAGGACAATAAACGTTGAAAATCATTTAAACGTAATTAATGATGTTTTATTTGCGCAACTTGTCTAATTTGTTTAAACGGATTACTTTCCATAAATATTTGGCGGTTCCAATATTAAGTCGAACGCACGTGCACCGCTGGCCGGTTGCCAAATCAACAAGAATGTTTAAACTACAAGCTTAAACTTAAGACCATCGCAATTGTTAAAATTATTGTTTTCATAATGAATAATTGCAGTCAAGTCAATTTATCACTTGATTCATAAAAATAAATTTCAATTGCAGTAATTATAAAAATAACACCATTGAATGATTCAGTAAAAAATATCGCTGTGCTCTTTCAAAAACTAACACAATGACTATTTTTAGAACTATATTTGATATAGTTCTAAAACAATTCATTTTATTAATTATGTATAATATATAGGAGATCATTTGAAATAATTTTTATTGAAAAAAAAATCTGTAAAAGTTAAGTATTTATTACCTAAATAATAATTATTGAAAAATATTAAAAAATTTGAAACCAATAAAAGGTTTTGTGATTAATAATAGAGTTTAGGAATTATACGCATTTCAAAATTTTGTTCGAAGTATGTGCATCTTTGTCATATGATTATATAGTAACGTAGAAATGTATTCCATCTTAAGCAAAGATAAATCTCATCCCCCAAAATTATAACCCTTGTAATAACACATTACTAAATTTTCAAGTCAATTAATAAAATATTTGTACTGTCTGATGGTGTGTTCAGAATAACTTAACAAAATGCTTATAATTTCTAGCTCTAATTATAAATATATTTTAATAACTCTTAAATTATATAACTTAAATTGAATTAGCTTCATATGGGTTTTTCCTGAATATAAATAAGCAGTATTAAATTCATTCTGGAAATCCAATTGAAATCTATTGTTGAATCGAATTTCGAATTAAATTTCTAGTACGATTATTGAAAAAAGCAAAATTTGTTTGGATAAAATTCTCAAACATTATAATATTTAATATTATTTCAATTTGACTTCGAAAATAAGAGTTTATAACTCAATTAACCATTAGAAAATATTGTGCAAACCCATACAAGAATCGGTTAAAACACGTATAATTTTTATGATAAGTTATTATAGTTTGCAGTAGTAATTAACATTTTTTCTTTTTAACGATTTATTAATTTTATTCAGTAAACTTTACTTAGAAAATCCAATTTTTGTAAAAACGGTAATGAATAAACTATTGTCAAGAATGTTAATATTGTTAAAAGTATAAAAGGAAAATTATACAAATGAAATAAGCAAAAAAAAAATGAATAAAAAAAAATTAACACCAGTGGTTAGTTAATGAAATATGCAAAAATGAAACCAGACATCGTTTTGATGATGTCTGGCAAATGTAATAGTAATTAGTGTACTTAGTTTATACGGTGAGTTGTTATTAAAAAAATTCTTAGAATGTTAAATTTAACACGAACAACAGTATTATAGAAGAGTTTCTCGTATTTGTTAATAATCTGTAACGATTTATTTATGATATATTTATATTCTTTTATCGTCAGTATAAATAAAAAAATACACATGTTGTTTGTGTTTAATCAATAAAGTAATTGGTCTAATAAACAAATAGCTACAGTTAACAGTTTGCGCACTTACAAATTATTTAAATTATGGTTGTCTAACAGTATTTTTAGTTATTTTATTGGCTAAATATATCTTTAAATTCAATTTGTTTAAATAGAACTTTTTTGAAGAAATATATGCAGTTTTAAACTGAAAAAATCAATTGTCATCAAAATTCAAACGGAATTGTACATATTTGATTCAATTTTTTCTTTGACAATGAAATATCCATCAAAATTTTATATCTTTTCAGTGAAATGTAAAAAGTCGAATGTAATCCAAATGAAATAAATACGATCCACGCATTGATGATACACTTAATTCGCTTTTATTGTCCATAGTTTGGTTTATGTGAATCTAATTTCAAACAAAAATCGTACTTCCTTTAAATGCGAACATAAGTAGAATTTCATTTTACTATTCGCATAAATATTTCGTATACTTTCAGTTTAGTGTAACAAATAAATTGATACATATTGTGTATATTAATTAGAATTATTATTCGGTGCAGTTTTTTTTATAGATGCTTTGAATTTTTTTTTATTTATTTAAAATTACAATAAAATCGATTTTTGATAAAAATTATTTTAAATGTTTAATTATTTATAACACATTGTATAATGATTACTATTAAATTATGAAGTAATTAAAATATTAATATTATACAATACATGTCTTAAACTGGTGATATTAAAATGGCAGGTTGTTTAATTAACCATAAAAAATGTATTTTTGATTGCTTAGAACAAAAATATGATTTTTATATTGTTTACATAAAATATCTTTATCAAGTCATTTGATACTCTGTTAAATATTCCGTAAGAAAAAAACATAGGTAAAATGATAGATTGGAAATAATTGATGGGACGGCATGTTCAAAAAGTAATTACAACGTAATAACTATAAAAGTGAAGAAAAAAAAACTTGTAATATAAACTTTTGTCGAGGAGAATATTTTCAAAATAAACACTTCTGTAATCTTTAGGCTGGTTTAACTTTATTTTTATTGTAATTTATGTGAACGTAGATGTAATTTAAATAATCTCACTTAGGAGTAAAAAAAATTTATTTTAATATTTATGTTAATTATTTTGGTATCCTATATGTACTATGTTTTTTTATGGCTCTTCGGCAAATTTTCCGTATATAATTAGTTTTTTATAATTTTTTGGTTTATTAGCAATGTTGTGCTATTATGTAACTGGCAAAGCTCCATTGAGTATTGTTTTTAAATATAACACATAAATGTCTTGAGATTATCATAGTTTTGTTTACCTACAAGACTTATGTTGTGAATAATAAATAACCATTAAGTATAATTTTCTGTCTGTTGTTTATTTATAGCATTTTAATTTACATTATAGATAATGTCGAAAGTTTAGTTAAAGAAATTCGGCCTATAACTAGACGATCAAAATTAATGTACTTTTACTAAAAAAATTAATTTTTTTAAACAAAATGTTAAAAAATATCTAAAACATAATCTCATATCTTGTGGTGTTGAATTATTGAAGTAAAAACCAAAGTAGTAATTTTTTTATTTTCTGATCAATACAAACCAGCAGCCAATAAATTTAATTTAATCGATAAAAACGAAAAATGGACATTTTCGATTTTAAATATTGTAAAAATAGGTACTAGTATATATAATTATGAATATATTTAATGTACTTAACACTGTTTAGCCAAAAGATCCGTGTGGATAAGGCGATATGAATTAATTCTGAATAAATCTACACTGAAAAGAAGTTAGAAAAATGATGTTAATTAGTAGTAAGTACGTTTATTGTGGCGGACAATCAACTACTAATTTTATAATAACATACGAATGGGAAATAGCCAATGGATAAAGATAAACGTATTACTTATTTGTATACATAGATAGTAAAGATTACAACAATATAAAAAATAGTGATATGAAAATAATGGAAAATATTTCTTTGCTTTTGATACTTCCATTTTTTATTTTATTTTGTAAAAGCAATAGAGTTGTGGAAAAAATATTTTTAGCGATTTCGTTCTTCGATAACGTTTTAAAATGTTCGGGTCAGACTTTTATCGTACCCATCAAAATATACCATGGAAAGTTTATTTAAAAAAAAACAACGGACACCCGAGTTTTACTTCTTTCTATATTTATTAAGATGATATACTTATCGCTAAGTAACAGTCACTAAGGAAGTGTGTCTTGAATGCTTAAAAGAAAATTTATTGCTAGCCTTGAAACACCTATGGACGAATTTAAGTCATAGTTCAAACTTTTTTTTTCGGGGTAAATTATTTTTTATTACATCACTTCTTGTTGCATCATTGTTTACCGAATTTCGAAATAAGAAAACACAGGAGATTTAATAATGGAAGGAATACGAGTTTGCATAAATTACACGTGTTTAGGTAAATTAGAATTTAACATTTTGGGTATGTCATTCAATATAATTAATCTTGGCTAATCAATATATTTGAGTTTGAAAGTAATGGACTTTTGATAGTATTAACACTTTACCGCTGACAATAATTACCAATTTGCCTTGTCAATTATTTTTTTCAATTTTATTTTGCTGTATATTTTCCTAC